GCATAAAAGTTTTGAGTTTCATAGAAATATCACACTTCGTAAAGTTAGGTCTTGATTTTTTCTAAGGAGGCCATGATTTACTTGACAGAAATTAACACGCATAAAAGAACTTATGAACGAACGCATTGAAATTTCGATAGAACATAAACGTGAATAACGACTTCCCAACAAGTAAGATATTTTGGGACAAATTCCCAACTATTGGTGTTAAAAAAAAGTCAGAAAAATCATCGTCATTAATTAACACTTGAACCTTTGAACAACCTACAATTAGATGCAAATTGAAAATGAAAATCGCAACAGAAATATTTTACAAGTTGTAATGTGATGTCATGTAAAGTGAAATATGGTGAAATCTACTGCTTTTTAAATGAGTGTTAATTTACAAATTTGCAAAATGACGTCCATTTGCATCGAGACATTTTTGACAATTGGTGACTGTTTTTCTTACAACCCTAGCAAGTGTATTCCCGTTAATATTTCCAAATGTGTCCAGAACTCTTTGTTTCAAGATTTCTATGGTCGCGGGAGGATCAAATTCATAGACCTCATTCTTTGTGTGACCCCAGAGGTAAAAATCCAAAGGTGAGAGGTCAGGGGATCTCGGGGGCCAAGATATTGGACCATTTAAAGAAATAATAAAGCCGGCACAACCTGGTATCGCAAAAGCTCTAGGTACCTCTGTCCGTTTAGGTTGTATTCAAACACAAATGGTCCTATAAGTCGATTTCCTGAAATGATTAATAATAATTTATAACAGGTGCCCAATTGAAAAAGCTAAGTCAGATCAAATTACCAATGACCCCACACCAAAAGTTACTTCTAAATCTAGTCTGTAGACGTCTCTCTGCCACTTCGTGAGGGTTTTCCACAGCCCAATGATGAGTGTTGTGCTTATTAAGAACTCCACAATTCGTGAACCTACTCTCATCGGACCACAAGACATGATTTACAAAATCGGGATTTTCATTACACTTCCTAGTATACCACTCACAGAAGCGTATTCGTCTTGGAAAATCAGTTTCCTCAAGTTCTTGAACTATTGTGGGTTTGTATGGATGGTACTTATTCTTATTCAACACTTTCCCGTTCTACAGTTCGTACCGATGCTCTGGGATTTTCGTTGACAGTTTGTAAAATGTTTCTGTTTTTCATTTTCAATATTGTATCTACTTCTAGGTTGTTCGAAGGCCCCATGGTTAATTAAATTAACTACGATTTTTTCAAATTGGGTTTTATGAGGCTGTCGTCGTTCGGGGTACATCTCCAAATACCTTGCTGAAGTAATGTCGGCGTTTCTGCGTGACTGCAAGTACAGCGCTAACATGTCAAACTTTTCTTCATTTGAATAGGGAATACCGGCCATTTTCAACAAATTAAGACAATTTGTGTGTCAGATTACAAGTACTCAACTTTGACGCTTTTAACTATTCAATGTCAAACTCAGAGCATCCTTAGATGGAAAAAGTGTTACTTATAAAAACCCAATTTTCTGACTAGTAAATCATGGCCTCCTTAGAAAATCAAGACCTAACTTTACGAAGTGTGATATTTCTATGAAACTCAAAACTTTTATGCACTTGTGAGACATCACTAGACTGGAAATTTTACGCTCTTTCCAAAAATCGAAAATTCCAATATGGCGGCCATAAGAAAAATGAAAGTTGAGGCGGCTTGCGGGATAACAAAATTCGATCGTGACATGTCATACATGCTATCTTATTCGTCTTGAGAAAGTGTCCAGATAATGTGACATTTTGACAGCTGTCAAATTAACCGTTTCGGATTTACTGGCGAAAAACGAAATCCGTCATTTTCGGTTTTTCGCCGATATTTCCAAAACCAATTATCCGATCGTAAATCTGAAGCCGGTTATCGAATGCACTAAGATTCCTCTAAAACTTTCCCCATTTAACCTCTGCTGTAGGTATAATAGGAGCCGAGATCCCTGTATAGAGAAGCGAATCTGGGACACACTGTATATCACCTGAAATTGTTCACACGACCAGGTAATCTCAATACTGAGAATATTGAAACCTAAACGTTCAAAGGCGATATCCTAATGAAAAGTGGGTCTAAAAGACAAAAAAATCGTATCTTCAATATATGATAGGAGCTGAACGCTGAATAGTACCATACAGGGCGAATACGGTCAGCGTATTCAGCTTCAGCCTCCATTATATCAGTGCCCTTCTACATCATAATGTTAATTGTACGGAAGGGTGATGAGACCGGACTGTCATTCATGTTTCATGTTATTCCCTGTGTACCTATAAGTATACAGGATGTTTCCCTATAAGGGCGTTATTTTTTCCAAGCTTCAGCAATCTAGAGTTGCGCCAAAAAATCGATTATCAGTTAGGCATTTATACAGGGTTTTTCATAAAAATGTGCCCCTATTGGCATAATAGGTAGAATACTGCAAAATAAGTTCGATTTGCTCAGCAAAAAATGTTCGTACCAACATCCGTATTAAAGATACAGGGTGTTGATGAAAAATATTCACACATGTTGTTCACCATCATATCGTAATTATACTGGCAATATTGTGATGACATTTTATATGAATTGTTTTGGGAGCTGACACATCGCATGAATCTGTTTTTTTTTTCATCTTGCTCATAGAGGTTTCCATTCTGAGTAGTTTTAATCATAACTTTTCGGAGGTTAGATTTTCTAGTCCAAAAGTTTATGCGAACATGAAGATTCCTATAAGGAGAAATAAGTTTGTTCATTAATTCATTTCTATACTATTCTAAAAGCGACTGGAAAGTTGAGCTTTTCTTATCTTTATTATGATATAGTGATGATGCAATTATAATGAATGTTTTGTGACATCATATGAACATAAATTGAGGAAATTTGAAAAAGGAGAAACTTTCATTGTTTCCAATTTACCCCACAGTTCCAAGTACTTATCTCAATTCTTCGGTAGTTTGATCGTTATTTTAATTCTAAAACTCTCATTTTCCATGCCAAAAACCACTAATCTTGAACTACTGCTCAAAAACATGGAAGATATATAAAAGTTCACCTGCAAATCATTTGAATGTGTACTAATCTTGCATTGAAAGTTTTCATAAAATCCTAAAAACGTATACCTTGAAATTTAAAATGTTGATTATAGGTGTTAATGGGGAAGACCACTGATTTTTTAAAACGACATTATCGTGAACTCTATACTGAAAAACTACCAGTTAATTAATTTTGAATTTTTTCGTTCATGCTAAGACGATGAAAAAAATAAATTAGTATATGTCCATTTCAAAACACACAATTCCTGCGCCATTTGAAATTTCATCAATTCATTGGTGTGACTGGTGCGACGTCTTAGTCCCAACACGCCTATTGTCCTTGAACTGACCAATTACACTGCAACACTGCAGAATGAAGAGGTATCAGAGAGAGATAACTACAGTTCGGGACTAATACGTCACGACTCCACCATCATATTTGGCTGTTTGAAATATCGAATGAAATATGCTGATTTCAAAACGATATAGATTCGATTCCCTTCAACTTCAACTCATAATATTGATTGTACATAAAATGTAAATCATGATTCGTCGATTGAAAGAGGTTTGCACGGATTTCTTCCCTCAGTGGTCTTCCCCATTATAGGCTTAATTAAGGAAGATTTCTGTTGTGGTAATGGTCTCACCTTAAGTACAACTAATACAAGGTACAAGGAAGGATAATTGATGATAAACTATGGCAAGGTTGTGATTATAAATTCGTGAAATTATTCATTGAATCACAAACGATTTTGTGATTTCGTTCTTCGAATCAAAAATGATGCTCTCATTGCCTATACCCTATTTCGTTCAATAATAATAATACCTACTTAGTTTTATTGTTACTCAAAATAACTGCTCCCGCTACATAACAAATATTCCTAATACCTTCGACGTGGTTCAAGTTATCTTGAATTCCTCAATGGAAACTCTCCCTTTAACCACCATCTCGCCGCCATTGAAGTAATTACTTTGTTTTTCAGGTGAGGCGATTCATCGTCATCAATAAGAATGTCTTGAACTTGGCTTTAGATTATAATATCGACCATAGACGTTGTAATCTATCCTCTTTACAATTTCATAAATCCTTACCTAGAACTACAATGAATAGTGACTATATTATTTTGGTTGTACAAGTCCTCACTAATAATCCTAACATAGATACTATTACGCCAGATAATAATAGTAATTATTTTATTGACTATATAATAAGATTTTAATTCCGTTTCAAGAAACTCGCTACATTATTTTTAAGCATAATTTTACTCAATATGTATTTTTGTTAATTTGTTTTCAAGACATGTCATTTCTTATAATGTAGCATTTTAATCAATATTTATTTTTGTTAATTTGTCTTTTGAGTTATTTTTTTTTATTATTATGTTTTTAATATGATGAGTTACCAAAGTTGATGAGCAAATGATGTTCGCTTGATATTTTTCATTATTTGTATTTTTTTTTAATTTAATGTTCGAGAACGAGAAAAAATGGATAGGTAGATAAAGAAACTTTCAGAAATAATTCAATTACAATTAATACACTATCCAACTCTTTTTCCATATAGGTAAGTGCAAAAGTTGTTAATGCAAGTTTTTTTTTTTCAGTAATCAATTCACTTCTATTTGTAGATATAATCTTTGAGAGTATTCACACTATATAATTCAGATTCCATCTAATCGAAATAAACAGATTACACATTAAATAAAACAGCAATAGTTTGGCAGAAAAAAGTTGACTCAAAACTATTCAATTATAACGATTGAAACTTGATTACAATTTGAGATAGAAAAGGTAAATCATTTTACTTTCATTGTCTTTTCTCACTGAATATTTTCAAGTGTATATACTATGAATATATATCTATCTATTTTCTCTCAGTATGACTAAACCTAGCAGATAAGATTATTCTGTGATTATAGATAGTATTGTATCCAACAAGAATGTATACTGACTAATATTTTATTATAATGAATGTTTTCATATTACTATGACTCTATTATGTATGTTCCCCTCTTTTTTACGACTACAAGACTAGCAGATGACGATAACATGACTGACCTATTATCCGATGTCTAGAAAAAAAATGGTTTTCGATAAACGGGCTGTTGATGAAATTGTGAGTTTGCTGAATTTTTTTTATAGAATTTCAATCTCTGTTCAAACAAATGCTATCGATTCGAAATTTAGTGAGTATAGGTACAGTCAGATGCAATGAACATGTCTCACATGGGCGCGGTGATAGCACCTCTATTCACTTCTGCAATAATAGCGCTAACACCATCCAACCGCGACATCGACTGCACATAATAACTATCAGCAGTATGAATATTCTATGTCGATGGATTCGTTGATGCTATACAGGGTGGGTCATTCTTTTTCGAGTTATCTCTGATGTTGAAGACTTCTGAATTATTTATTGGTATACGCCCCTGGTGAATTCTTCAACATAAAAGTTGATTTTTCTCTGAAGGAATCCTTACACTGACAAAATGAATGTATGACGCCTAATCCAAAATGATGGTAAAATTTCAATGCACGAAAACTAATAGTCCAGTCGAAACAATAAGGTTTGACCTCCAAAAAAATCCGAAAGTTTTGAAACTTTGCACACCTATTTAAAGGTACCTAGGGATGAATATACCAAAAGTCCTCATGAATATGATGCGAGCTCTAGCGGCAATTGGCGGAAACAGGGCACTTTTTTTGTTTTTCGTCAATATCTCGAGAACCGTTGGTCGGAGGTGAAGGTTCATCATATACATAATTGAAGCTTATTAAATTTGCATCAAAAATAATCATCTACAGTTTTCTTGTACTCCTAATGGTTACCGAGTTATAGGGCGCTAAAGATAGCGTTTTTTATAAATCCACGCTGGCGCTGGTACAATATGGCATTTCTAATAAGATTTGACAATGGTTTACCAATTTTTCTGAGGATTGAGGAAATAAACTTCACAGCTTTATTTGAAAAGAAGGACATGATATATATTAATACGTGAATTACAAGAACAAAAAAATGTTGAGGATATTCCAAGGAAAATTGTGACCAGAAAAATCTATCAACTCTTCATAGTAGAAGGCCCTGCAATCTGCTCATCTTGGTCAGCTTTCGAACTTGCTGGCTGAAAAGAAGTAACTATGCATGAGATGATGATGTGAGAGAACCATTATTTAAATGAGAACATGTAAATAGAAGAAAGTAGGTGAGCGAGCAGTAAAACAACGTATGAACATGACGACAGATTTATGTACACTATTGCAAGGTGAATGTATAACAAAAAAAAAACAAATATGCAATCTCACCTGACTTCTGGTTAAGCGTCCAGCAAACACAGTGTTTTGATCTTCATGTACCAAATGTTCAGTGTTTGTATTTAGCACTGAATGCTCTGTTTCTTCAAGATATATTATATCAGGATCATCAGAGTCATCTAAGTCTTCTTCGATTGTGGAAGTAACACCATTCAAGCATTCGCCATGGCAGTTGTGACAAATGCTTGTACAACTTATTCCTGACTTTCGACAGCCACATCTGTTTCCACATCCACTTGTACATTTGCAACAAATAAGGTTGAGGACAGCTGCAGGTGCTGCTGGATCCTCTGTTGTCACAGGGATCAGCCGATCGCTTTCCAACTTCCAACCCCACTGTGCAGGAGGTAGTTCATTCCCAAGCCAAAATTGAATTTGATGGTAAACAATAGCAATACCTTGCAGTACAGCTTGCTTCTTGAACAATTTGAAACAGGAAAGTTTCCCTTTTCGATAAGCAGCCGAAGTCGTATCGCATCCGCTGAACGCATGCACAAGAAATATATGCAGTTCTTCATTCCCAAAGTTTGCAATTGCTGGCTTGAATATACTTTCCTTCCTACTTTGCCATGGCTCGGTTTCACAAATAATATGTTTTGTTCAGTCGGGGTTAAGGCCATGAGGAGAATAATAAGATCTACATCTTCACCGACTATTGCTACTTTGTCACAAGTGAAAAATTTCACGAGTGCTGTTCGGACGATCAATGTATCAGCATCACTGGATGCTTGTTCTGTTTCAACACCATGGCTGTTAAGGGTAGTAATGAGGAATGTTCTTGTATTTCACTTGTTAATATACACCATGTCTCTCTTTTTCAACAAACTGTGAAGCTTATCTCCCCAATCCTCAGAGAAATTGGTAAACCATTGTCAAAATTTATTAGAAATGCCATATTGTACCAGCGCCAGTGTGAATTTGTAAAAAACGCTTTCTTTAGCGCCCTATAACTCGGTAACCATCAGGAGTACAAGAAAAGTGTAGATTATCATTTTTGTTGCGAATTTAATAAGCTTCAATTATGTATATTTTATGATGAACCTCCACCTCCGACCAACGGTTCTCGATATATTAACGAAAAACCAAAAAAGTGCCCTGTTTCCGCTAATTGCCGCTAGAGCTCGCATCATATTCATGAGGACTTTTGGTATATTCATCCCTAGGTACCTATAAATCAATGTGCAAAGTTTCAAAACTTTCGGATTTTTTCGGAGGTTGGATCATTTTTTGAGGTTTTTTGGCTGGACTATAATCGGAATTTTATGATATGGACATCTCTTTATAAAGAAAACTTCAACCGTTACGCCACGTCGAAATCTAAACATTGAACAATTGTAATATTGCCTCCGATATTAACCAATGAAAGCGAAGGTCAACGCTTCCCTATGACTCCCAATGCTGTCTTCTTAGTTGGAATGGACTATAGTAGTGGGCGATTACAATTAACAATCAACGGATATTTCGAAAATCTTCGATATTGAAGACTTCTGAATTATTTATTGGTATACGCCCCTGGTGAATTCTTCAACATATAAAAGTTGATTTTTCTCTAAAGGAATCTTTACACTGACAAAATGATGGTAAAATTTCAATGCACGAAGTGGGCGATTACAATTAACAATCAACGGATATTTCGAAAATCGTCGAAAATCTTATCGATAATTATTATCGGTAGTATTGATATGTTATCGATAAACCGATAATATTTTATCTGAATTTTTGAATTCGATATTTATCGATATATCGATAAATTTGACCACTTCAACTGTATATAATTACCTATCCTTAAACTGTGATAGTATATAGCAATACAGAAAATATTATCCGGCCGAGAGCTAACAACACTGAAATAGCGAATCATACCATACCATGCATCACAGTATTTGTTTCAATAGTGGCGTACGGAAATCGAACACACACGATCTTTGGCCATTATGTGTCCTGCGAATTTATGTACAAAACAGATTTATAGAGGAATATTAATCCTCACCACACTGATATATTATTTCTTGTTCTCCGTTTTTTTTTAATAAAAATTTTTCTCATACGAATAAAATCGCAAGTCGTGTTTCCTTCCTAAACGCCGCCTAATTGGTTCAGGAACGGTAATGACTTCGAGTTCCTCTCTATTTGTGACCATTGCATACCACTTTGAGTATTTGGCTTTTTCCTAGTTGACAATGGTTTTTGATTTACGTCAATATCTTCTTGAGAACATCAAGAAAATATGGATTTTTTCTACAAACGTCAAAAAATGACAAGGTTCGCGCATTGATAACAAATTGCGAAGTGACACTTTTTTCAGTTTCCTACGTTACCATGATACCTTGCACAAAACAATGCGCGAAGTAAAACAGTGCGCGAAGTACCTACTTCGCGCAATGTTATGTAAAATATATGAGATATTTATATTTCAACTTTATGGTCCTCAATCGAGCGAACATCCACGAAATCATTTATTTCTGAATGTTCAACAATAACTTTGTTTTATCTCTTGGAGCGCACGAAAGGAAATTCCTATTATGTTCGTGGAACATCGTGCGTACCTAGGGAGGATAGGGGAAAGCCTTTTAAGCCAGTTCAACACTATATTTTATATCAAGCTAAGCATATTTTCACCTTAGAACTATATTTTTTGACGTTTGTAGAAAAAATGTTGTTTGCAACTCGAGCGCGAAACACTTTGGTCATCTCGATTATTTTTTTTAACTCGTCTACGCCTCGTTAAAAAAATCAGATCTCGATCACCAAAGTAGCATTTCGCGCTCTAGTTACAAAAATAACTATTTTCTACAAACGTCAGAAATGACAAGGTTCGCGCATTGATAACAAATTGCGAAGTGACACTTTTTTCAGTTTCCTACGTTACCATGATACCTTGCACAAAACAATGTGCGAAGTAAAACAGTGCGCGAAGTACCTACTTCGTGCATTGTTATATAAAATAAATGAGATATTTATATTTCAACTTTATGGTCCCCAATCGAGCAAACATCCACGAAATCATTTATTTCTGAATGTTCAACAATAAATTTGTTTCATCTCTTGGAGCGCACGAAAGGAAATTCCTATTATGTTCGTGGAACATCGTGGGTACCTAGGGAGGATAGGGGTAGGCCTTTTAAGCCAATTCAACGCGATTTTTTATATCAAGCTAAGCATATTTTTACTTTAGAACTATATGTTTTGCCCTTTGTAGAAAAAATGATGTTTGCAACTCGAGCGCGAAATACTTTGGTCATCTCGACTATTTTTTTAACTCGGCTACGCCTCGTTAAAAAAATCAGATCTCGATCACCAAAGTAGCATTTCGCGCTCTAGATACAAAAATAACTATTTCAAATTTGCAGAACCTACGCATGAACTTATCGATAAAGAACTGGAAAAAATATCTCAAAATTGATATCATTTATTTCCACACAGGTTTCAAGCGAAGAGAAACTGTAATTACTAAAAACAAACGAACAACAGACCTCCGAAATGTAGTCAATAACGGGTATGCCCTCCTCGAACTTGAATTACAGTATTCAACAGCCGTGACATCGACTTGATCAAATTTCTCAAACAGTCTTGAGGAATTGCCTCAAACACTTCTTTGAGGGCGTATCGTAGCTGTTAAAGAGTCTCTGACAAGGCCGGAAAAAGGCGAATGATTGTTGATAAAAATGAAGAATTTCCATATTTTCTTAAAACACCTCTCCTCTCCTTTTAAAAAGGTGATATTGACGTGAATCAAAAACCATTGTGTTGATAAAGGACAAAAAGGGATCACACTCCAATCAAAAAGATGAAGAAGTAGAACGTTGGAGAAAGGATCTGAATTTTGGTTGATAAAAATTTTCAAAATTCATAGTTTCTTAAATCACTCGTATTTTCCCTCAAAATGAAGATATTGACGTGAATCAAAAACGGTGTTAAGAAGACATCACACTCAAATTCGAAACATAAACAAGCTTTACCGCTCACCTTCGCCACAGAACGTTAATAAGAAGTTGAGGGCGAAAGAGTAACTTTTGTTTTTCCCTGTATAATGATCAAGCCATTAGTTTTTTTCGCGAATTCATATTCAGGCTACCAATCCGAAACACAAATCTACGATTTGGTCGAAATTTCACCAGAACCGGACAAGAATTGAAAAAGTTATAGGGCGATCAATTTGGCTCAATTTTTTGATGGCCGGTTTTTTTGCCGTTGAGTGTATATATATAATTGTTCTAAAATTGTTCTTATCCATCATTCGGTTGCCCCCTTACGAGCAACCCTCAGAAGTCTTCAAGAGACTTGTGCGAGCAAGGAATGACAGGGGTCTTACCTTTTAACGTGTGATCCCAAACACTTTCTTAGGCCGTTAGACAAATTTCTGCGGTCGTGGTGGGAATCGAACCCACTACCGGTATACCGGTAATCCAAAGTATATAGAACATTGACGGTCTAACCACAAGGCTACGCTGGCCATAATATAATATATAATCTCTAACCGATTATAAAATGAAATATTGGGTGTTCCATTTGAAAATCAAAAGTTGATGTCATTTCCAGGAAAACCGAAAGATGAAAAAAAATTCTGAAATGTGAGAAAGTGCCCTCTAGTGGGCATATTTGATGATCAAAATTCCAGAAATATAGCTAGAAAAACAGGACAAAAGGGGTATACCATGAGGTATATATATTCACCCAGAAAAAAAATTTCTCTGTATCTTCTAAAGGAAACAGTTATGAAAAATCTGATATGCTATCTTGAGTTTCACCCCTAGCTCTACCTTTTATAAGAAGATCGAAGAAATTTATATATTTTGCATCTCGAAAATTACGATGGGTTTTTGGAAATGAATTTATCAGGAATATTTTTTCATTTTGTTCCACGATCCTTTAAGGCTTAAACCATTGTCGATCTAAATGAAAACCTAGTAGGCGACCTAGTTCGCGGGAAGGTACAATAGCTCTTGCCTACTAACTACCTAACTATAGGTTGTCATCTAGAACGACAATGCTCATCAAACATTTTCAGAATACCAATGGTACAACACCCTGTATACAAACAATCACATACAAACTAACATGGTGTCCATGGTAACTAATTATGATTTCCTGGTTTCCCCCATAGATTTTACTATTACTAGATCCCTTAATACAAACAATGAAACAATAGTAATCAATGGGGTAAAACATGGATAATGAAGAAACTATTAGGTAGAAACTGTCAAATATATTTATCAATATCAATAATAAGGTGTGATATTTGACTACAAAAGTTTTTTCTGCAATATTCTACCATGCAATCAGAATTACTAAGGAAAGAGGATGAATTCTACAAAGAAAATGAAAAACTGGAAAGACATACAAAGGAACTGATGCAAAAAGTGAATGATGCCATGGTAAAAAAGAGAACATTATTTCGTGATTTAATTCAATCAACAATAATCGGTATACCTATTTATCTTTTCAGAAAATACAAGATAATCTTATTAAGGAATCATTAAAAACAAAGGCTGATATCAATCATGCCCGAAAAAATAATTTCAAATTTGACCGAACTGAGGAATTTGAAACTACAGAGGAATTCAGTGAAATTGACAAAATGGGGATGCAAGGTGCTAATCAGTATTACAAAGCAAAAGTGAAAGCTTTACAGGTGGAAAATATCAAATTGCAAGCTGAAAACAGAAGGAGGGTAGGCAATTTTTTCAGACCCCTAATATATATCTTCCTTATTACAAATAATAAAATTACTCACCTATTTATTGAAATTTTGTTATAGACTGATGAACTCAAAAAGGCACAAAATGAAAATACAAGTATACTAGAAGAAAAGGAGAAATGGTTCATGGCTTATAATTCTTCTAAAGCATCTATTGGCAGATTAGAATCACAGGTATCTTCTAGTTTTTATAAACGCCCAAAAAGCTCTTGGAATCGGCACAAATCGCCCTTTTTAAAACATTGGTTTGCCAAAAATTCTGTCACATTTCTAACTTCAATATGTCTAAGAGACCACTCATTAAATCATTAAGAAACTACAAATTTCAATGGAACAGTATTAGAGAGCCGATTTAATTAAAAAAATACAAATCCCTTTATCTTATTGAGAACAAAACGATTCCAAACGTATATAATAGTTATTTTTGTATAGCCGAGTTAAAAAAATAGTCGAGATGACCAAAGTATTTCGTGCTCGAGTTGCAAACAACATTTTTGCTACAAACGTCATAAAATATAGTTCTAAAGTAAAACTATGCTTAGCTTGACAGAAAAAATATTGATGAACTGGCTTAAAAGACCTCCCCCTATCCTCCCCAGGTACGCACGATGCTCCATGTACATAATAGGAATTTCCTTTCGTGTGCTCCATGAGATGAAACAAAGTTATTGTTGAACATTCAAAAATAAATAATTTCGTGGATGTTTGCTCGATTGAGGACCATAAAATTGAAATATAAATATCTCATATATTTTACATAACATTGCGATCATAACAAAGTAAGTACTTTGCGCATTGTTTTGTGCAAGGTATCATGGTAATGTAGGAAACTGAAAAAGTAAGACTTCGCATTTTGTTATCAATAGGCGAACCTTGTCATTTTTTGAGGTTTGTAGAAAAAAATTTATAGAATCTTCTGTTTATTCGATCCAAATAACTTCATTCAAACTTGCGTTATAATGTGCTGCTCCTAAAAAGTAGCATGTATGGAGTCCTAACCTTGATCCCTCAGAATATTTCATGAATCATGTTTAGAACCAAACCATACTAAGCTGAATTTAGTACCCAATTTGATATTGCCTTTATTGCCTATAATTTGATTTTGAATTCGTTCAATAGATTCTGAATTATATTTATTGTCAATTTGGAGACGACTCTGTTGTACCTATACCTATAATCTTCAAAAAATTAAGAAAGCATACAGAGAGTGCTCGATTTGGGACCACTGACACAAAACTCTGTTAAATCAACAAATTGAACTATTAGTCCAAGAGCCGTCTACAAATTTCGGCCGTCATCTGATGACGAAATGATATATGTCCTAAAGGCATGTGAAACCATTATTGCAGTTTATCGAAGGGCACCACTATCCTGATCAAAATGAATGAAAAATTGAACTTTCCTGTGCGGAAATTTGCACTCGATTTCAGGATTCTATAACGAGATAAGAATTATGCCATCCGATACCCATTGAATGGTAGATTTCAATAATTTACCTGTGCCACCCCTCAGTCTGAGCCAAATCTACGGCACAGCTATTTATTTGCTGCTATTATTCCGGACATACTTCCGTCATGTGATAACTTGTTGAAATCTAGTTGAAGCAAGAAGCAAATAGGAGGGGATGATATATGTCGCCTTTGCAAATATCTGAACGTGCTGCGATTCAAACTTATTTAAGTTAGTATGGATGATATAGTACCCTCCATACCGCCTTCTCCTCCAGGGCTCCAATACCAGCCAGGCAAATCAGTAACGAACGAGGGAGAAATGTTGACAACATAAATATGGACTTCTATTGAATTCTCGAATGGGGATCCAATAACTTGGTATATTTCAATGCAAACAAAACACAAGCATGCCTTTTCTCCAGAAAAGCCGATCTTACTGTGCCCAACATAAGCTTGTCAGGAGTAACCATACCTTTGAAGACATCCATTTCGATGCTTGGTATTACTATCAGCAATATCCTTTCTTGAGAATATCACGTGAGATCAATTGCTGAAAGTGCATCCAGAAAACTTGGTTTTCTGTTTCGGGTCAGGAGCTATTTCACTTCCAGTCAGATGCTTATGATCTATAAGGCTCAGATCCGACCTATCCTGGAAGACTGTTCCCATATTTGGAGTGCAGCACCCGAACATACCCTGAAACTGTTGGATTCTGTCCAAAAAAGAGAAATTCGTCTCGTGGATGATGCTTCGCTCACAAACTCACTTACTTCTCTGGTACACCGTAGAAAAGTTGGCGATCTGGCACTATTTTGTAGATATTTTCATGGACGATGCTCTTCTGAAATATCATCAATTGTTCCTCCCTTGGCAGTCCCCGCAAGAATAACCCGTCAAGTTGAGACTTCGCACCCCTTCCTGGTCACTTTGGAGACCTGCAGAACATCTCTTTCCAAAGACTCGTTCATCCAACGAACAGCGAGGCTCTGCAACACATTGCCAAGGGAGGTGTTCCCGAGGCATATAACCTCCAGAAATTCAAGAAGAACACCAATTCCTACCTTATTTTCCTTGGTTCTCACGATGTTCTCTGAACATTACAGGATATCCTTTCTCGTGGGAACCAGAACATAAAAAAAAGAACGTCAATACTTCCGAGAATAGTTCACTCCCCTCTAATGATAATATCTGATGGACCAGTGTAAAATTCAACATGTGTTTCACACTGGTCCATATCGGATATTATCTTTCGACTTTCTTTGAATCGCGGCACGTTTGGATAGTCGCAAAAGTGATATTTTTTCCTTTCATTTCTTTTCGTTTCAACTAGTTATCACATGACGGAAATATGTCCGGAAGAATCGGAGCAAATAAATCGCTGTGCCCTGGATTTAGCACAGACTGACAAGGGGTGGTACAGGTAGGTTTTTGAGATCTATCATTCAATTAGTATCGGATGGCATAATTCTCATCAAGTTATCAAATCGCGAAATTGAGTGCAAATCTTCGCACAGGAAAGTGCTAGTTTTATCATTTTGCTCAGGATAGTGATTGGCACAGGTGCCGTTCGATGAACTACAATATTTTTACTTTCCTTTGGAACACAATATACAAGGTGATTCTAAAATAGGTGGTCAAACTTTGGGAGTATATAGAGTGAAATAATTACGAAAACCTCGATAAAATTTTCTTCTGAAGTGCCCCCCAAGAAAGATACAGCCGCTCAAAGGGGGGCCTCGGAGAATGATTTTGTACTATTATCTCCAACACCTTGTATGATGAAAATCTAAAATTTTGTTTATCCACTAACTATTCAGTGCCGGTTCGAATGGAGTTAAAATCACCTCAAAATTGAATACAGGGGTGTGTCAAAACAGGGAGGTAGGGGGTAAAAATAACCCCAACTTTTTTTTTCATCGCAATTTCAGTTTTTTTACATGAAATTATGAAATCTCAGGGCTATTATCATAGAAAAGGAGCTCTTGTTGAATCTCGATAAACTGAACCATTAGCGAATAAAATTTATTTTTCCAAGATTTCATTTAAATTACAATTTTGGTATGCACTCGTTTAATTATTTAGTTCAAATTTTGCAACTGAATTTTTACCTACTTCTAATCGTCTGATCAACTTGGAATCTGGCAGATGACAGTTTACAACGCGTTATGGACTTTTTGATAGGAAAAAATATGGCGGCTTCAATATGGCTTACCAGATTTGTGATTATGATTCGATTCGCTTCAAATTTGGTTTGTAAGGGTTTTTGGGGTTGAAAATTTTGAATTCGTTGTCGAAATTGATGATTTAAAAATAGACGACGAGTTTCGTGATCATGGTCTGATCCTATTGAAGATACTAAAATGGAAAATATTGTTGAAAACAAGCTTTTTTTAAATTTTATTCGCTAATAGTTCATTTTATCGAGATGCAACAAGAGCACCTTTTCTATGTAAATAGCCCTAAGATTTCATAATTTCATGTCAAAAAACTGAAATTGCGATGAACAAAAAAGTTGGGGTTATTTTTACCCCCTACCTCCCTATTTTGACACACCCCTGTATTTTATTTTGAGGTGATTTCAACTCCATTCGAACCAGCATTGAATAATAAGTGGATAGACAAAATTTCAGATTTTCATTATACAAGGTGTTGGAAATAATAATACAAAATCATTCTCCGAGGCCCCCCTTTCAGGGGCTGTATCTTTCTTGGGAGTCACTTCAGAAAAAAATGGTACAGAGGTTTTCGTAACTATTTCACCCACTCTATATGCTCCCAAAGTTTGACCACCTATTTCAGAATCACCTTGTATATCATTTCGTTATCAGATGACGGTAGAAATCTGCAGCCGGTTCTCCTACTATCCGCATAGTAAGTAGTAGTAGAAAAACTTGGCATTAGCAATCCCATAGCATCATCATATATCAGTGTTGTGAAATAATCATTTTAGGTTTCAGAATTAAACTCGAGGCTACAAAATAAATCGAGTGAAATGGGTTCATTGAAAAAAGAACTGGATCAGGTTAAAAAAGATCTGAAAAATTCCAGTTTGAAATCCAATAATTTTGAAGCAAAGCTAATCAGGGTGCAAGAAGAAAATGAAAATTTGAAAGTTTCTATGAAAAATGTCAAGGACGAAGAGAAGGTTGGAATTAAGATTTATTATAAATATTATGTACAGGGCATTTGATCAACATCGACCACCGGCAGAATCACGATTAAATAAACGCTTTTAGAGGTTTATAGAGACAAGTCATCATCAGTGACTTAGCTGAGGGCGCTTGCTCCGAAATGATTGTTCCTTGGATATCATCGTCCACAAGTTAATTATTACACTACACAGTTTCACCTCTAACCCTAACCAAATCGATTTTGTAACGCCCCGCCACGTGTTTCGTTAGCTATGTTAGCATCTTCAAGAGAAGATTAAACTAAAACTAAATATCATATTCTAGAATGTTGCTTGTATACTAAATCTTCAATCATCTCCTGATTATTTTCTTCGTATGATGTTAAACCAATAAGAACGTTCAAATGAGTTAGGCTACCTTGTATAATATCGAATATACGTGGATATACATAGAGTAGCTCCACCAATCAGAAATTTAGAATCATTTCCATTTTCATAGTAACTAATTCATATTGTGACATACAAAGTGCGTCGTCAAATTTTGACGTTCGTGCAGACTAAAAAAATAATTGCATTGAATACAATTCGAACTTCGAAATCTTCAAGGGTATACAGGCTGATTCACGGTGAATGGTACATTAGACTTTTCTGAATAACGCAACGTAAAATTATTTTGAAAATTTGGTTCCTTGGATAATAAGTTGTGTTTTATCGACCTGAAATATTCTCAGCGCTGCGACATTGCCGCTTATATTGAAAAGTAGCAACAGCTTTGATTTTTTCAATGGAACACCCTGTACATCATTCCATTTTCATATTCTCCCTAAAGAACTGATTTCATCGATCTATCACACTTGGGGTCTAGCGGGAATGATAACACAGATATAGGGTGGCAAAAATCTTGATTCTGAACCACCCTCTGTTCATTTCAATTAAATATCAATTGATAGTACATGAAAAGTTATGATAGGGACATGAAAACCGTTTTGATCAATTATGAATAGTTTCGACACAAAAAATTCGTGAAGTTGAAAAATTTCGACTTTTCACACCCTATATCTTTGTTATCATTCCCGCTAGACCCCAAGTGTTATAGATCGATGAAATCAACTCTTCAGGAAGAATCTGACAATGGAATGATATACAAGGTGTTCCATTGAAAAAATCAAAGTTGTTGCTACTTTTCAATATAAGCGGCAACGTCGCAACGCTGAGAATATTTTAGGTCGATAGAACACAACTAATTATCCAAGGCACCAACTTTTCAGAATAATTCTGAGTTGCGCTCTCCAGAAACGTATAATGTGCCATCCACCGAGAATCAGCCTGTATACCTACATCTCAAACTTATTCCTAAAATTTGTTTTGTTCTAAAATTTGTTCTATCCGTCATTCGGTTGCCCCCTTACGAGCAACCCTCAAAAGTCTTCGAAAGTCTTGTGCGAGCAAGGAATGACGAGGGCCTTACCTTTTAACGTGTGATTCCAAACACTTTCTTGGGCCATCAGAAAAATTTCTGCAGTCGACGGGGATCGAACCCACGACCGGCAAGCGAATGCGAATTAGAATATAGACACTCTGTCCGCACGGCTACCTGGCCACCCAGGTAGCCGTGCACAATAATAATTACAAATCGTGTTAGTTTAACAGAATAATCCTCCCGCTTCGTGGTCGGATTATTACAACTCTTAAACTGACTGCATAAACAGAAAACCATTGCCAAACTTTCCTTCCAAACAACAGCAACCGCTAATTCGAAACATGCAAAACCAGAGCACTCCTTCGAAAAAACGACCTAAAACCTAATAATATAACTCACCTGAAGAGCTTTGTGAGGTGGAAACTGAATACAACAGCTTATCTAGTTTTCTCTTCTTTGTTTTTAATCTTCTGATATTTCTTCATCAACGGAACGTTTGGGCATTTTATTGATGAATCACTCAACACACAACACGAGAATTAATTTATTCAATGTAACCCGAGTCTCACTGAAAAACGTAATGAGTAATTTTATTACTAATAATAATTATCGGGCGATATGGCATTCAGGTAAACACAGGTTTTTTGCAGCTTTAAAATAGTGACTTGTGTTCCACCAGAGGCGTAACTACATGTTGGTCTAGGAGGACGTGGTTGTGAAGTATAATGTAATATCTTCTCAATATTGATTCGTCCTTTTTCCTGTCACAGAAAAAATAGTGTTTTATACACGGGAAAATATTAGATTTTAGCTCACGGAATCTACTACTTTTTCCCTTGTATAATAAATAACAAATTTTTCAAGACAAGAAATTCGATAGATTTCACGTGGGAATTAGACCGTGGAGTGCTGGTGTGGTGTGCATATAAGTGTTCGAGGTGACAAAAAAAATTAATATGCCCCTTGGTGAAAAACTGTCCATTGTCTCGAATGTTTTCTAGCCTCGGCTATAATACACAGTTTTTCGTCCTTGGCACATGAATAACTATTTCATCGAGTTCTATCGATTCTTGTAGTATTATAGCAATGGAAACTTGATCACCTTATTTTGTATATTATTATTATGTCGTTGTATTCCAGTTTCCAGTTTTTTTCTCGGTGGAACTCGAGCTGCCTGGTGAAAAAAGTGGTTCCAATCAACTGATAATGATCGTTTTTTATAATTCACAGGAACTCAAGGAGTCATTCAAGAAACAAATCAATGACTTAATTGCCACCGTCAAGCACATTGAAAGACATAAAGTAGAACTACTTAATGGATTCAAAAAACAACTGCAACTCATTGATAATCTTAAGAAGCAGAAGGTATTGTTAATATGCGATGACAAAACTAAATAGCAACAATTCAATGCTTCCAGACTTCACCAGTGGCCTTGATGACCAATCAGAACAATTCTAGCAATGGCCGTAAATTTTTTGCAGGTCGATGGGCGTGTTCGAATTATCCTGACTGGTCATTTTAGTATCTAATGCGCGAAATGCTACTTTGGTGATCGAGAACTGATTTTTTCCACTAGGCACAGCCGAGTTGAAAAAAATGTCGAGAACACCAATGTATTTCGCAGACGAGTTGCAAACAAAATATTTTTTCTCCGATTGGCAGCAAATATTAATTTTGCTGACACATATCGATCAGCAAAGTATTACTTTTCCTGCCTAGGCAGCAAAGTGGTTACTTTGCTGATTGATATGTATCAGCAAAATTAATAATCCATAAGTCGTTTATAATTTCCTTCATATTTCATTCGAGACTTCTCCGGCAACAAATTCAGCTCTATATTTTTTGCCACCTCCCTTATTTCTGGAGGTGTAAGTACTTCCAGGTCGCTATCACTGTCCATTGTATAATAATTTAAATATACCGATATTTTTTCGCACAACTGTCAGAATTTTCATGAATTGTCAAACTATAATTATCATGGACAACTGCGATTTCTATCAAATTTCATTTTAATTGAACACTACAGGAAAAATAAAGAGATTATGGGAATTGTAATAATTTGCAATTACAATATCGTCCTATATCAATAATCGGAGAAAAAATGATATGTTCAACTCGGCAGCAAAGTAGATTGACTGCCGAGGCTGAATTCATAGCCGAGCGTAGCGTACACAAATGTCCCTTTTTGCTTCATTTTGTTGCATTCATTTTTCAATATTTGCTCAATTTCAGAATTTTACCTCATTTTCTCAATAAACAAGAAATAGTTATTTGTTTTACTAGGTAGCAAACTAGTAGATTGATGCACCATCATATACAGGGTGTTTCAGTTTTTTGTATCAGGACTTCAACAGCTTGAAGAAGAAATTTTTTTAAGATAAAAATCTCATACAAACATATTTGCGTGGAAGCTTCGTTTCCGATTTACAGGGTGTCAAAGTTTCAGATTTTTTTCATGTTTTTTGAATTTTCTCCTACAATTTTCGGAATAATTGATTGAAATTTAGTACACCTGATACACTTCAAAAACTTAATATTTGAGGCTATTGAGCGTTTTTGAATACCTACAGGGTGATAGACTTTGAGGGGTCGTACCCAATTGAACCCTGTAGACCTTTTTTGCGTGCCGTCTCTGCTTTCAATGGGACATAGATTCAGATTGTCCTTTCAATTTGGAAACTTTTTGCCCCCATGTAAATTTTTCGAAAACTGTATGGATCTCGAGATAAATGCCAAAAATAAATTACTTGTAATAAAACCGTCATTTCTCAAACACACTTATTTGAAATTTCTCAAACATTTTATTGGAAAATAGAATGACCGAAAGCTTCCATACCAAATGAAATTCAGTTGCAAAATTAGATTGAATTTTTTGAACACTATTATAATTAAAACTAGGAAAAACAAAGAAAAAATGTTTTTATTACAAAAAAACTTCTCTAACTGCATTGCAAAATCTGAAATTGTATTGTGGAAAATTCTAGGACACCCTGTATAACTAAAACTGGTTAAACTCTCGATATCAGGGACTATATTATGACACACGGTCTAGGCGCTATACATCACTAGACTGTCGCTTCTGACGGTTGAGGTGTTGTGAGTTTTAATAATTTAATCTCGTGAACGGCAATTCTAATTTTATCAGTATCCTTAGAAGTGGTTCGGACGCCACTTTTATTTATCTCGAAATCCATACAGTTTTCGAAAAACATACATGGGGGCAAAAAGTTTCCAAATTGCAGTGACAATCTGAATCTATGTCCCATTGAAAGCAGAGGCGGCACGCAATAAAGTTCTACAGGGTTAAATTGGGTACGACCCCCGAAAGTCTATCACCCTGTAGGTATTCAAAAACGCTCAATAGCCTCAAATATTAAGTTTTTGAAGTGTATTAGGTGTACCAAATTTCAATCAATTATTCCGAAAATTGTAGGAGAAATTTCAAAAAACATAAAAAAAATCTGAAACTTTGACACCCTGTAAATCGGAAACGAAGCTCCCACGCATATATGAATGTTTGAGGTTTTCATCCCGAAAAAATGTCTCCTTCAAGCTGTTAGAGTCCTGAGTCATTCCTGTCATATAAAAGACACTTTCTATGCTTGGAGAAATAGTTGTTTTACTAGGCAGAAAAGTAGTAGATTGACTGCCTAGTAGTCAATGCAGTCAATCTACATTTGCTGCCGTGTGAAACATAGAATTTTGTCTCCAAATGATATAAAACCAATTTTGTGTGAGTTAATTATTGAAAACTCCATCATTTTGTGTTCACCCAATGTTAGTGTCAATTTTGATTACTAATTTCATTAGAATTTCTTGGAACGTTGCATAGCAACAAACTTTTGCTGCCTAGGCAATAAAAGTACACCTTTTCTGCCTGTTAAGCGGTAGGAAAAAGCCACTATCCCTGCCGCTTGGAGAAAGATTTATTCATCAAATTAACAACTCTCCGTTTCTATAAATAAAAAAGATGAGTATTATTTGAATATACAGGGTGTCCATAAGTCATGGATAAAAAGAAGTGGGGTGGTAGGAGGGGTCATTTCCAATCAAACTAACCGTTCATGTGGTTATGTAGTTGTTGGTGGTTCAAAAGTAATCAATGTGTTTCCATTTCTTTGAAAATAATTAAATACAATAAAACTATATGTCACATTTGTGATTTTATGACTTGTTACTTCTTATCAATAACTGAGAAAAATGTTGTTTTCGAGTTTTGTCATTGAATGAGATAGTTAAGTTGATTTTCAAATGCGCTGGCAGATTGAAAAACTACCCCACAAAGATGACCATTCATAAGAAAAAGTCGCCCATTCAATTCAGATTCCGAAATGGGATAACAATAATGGCCAGGTTGCGATTTTACTAAATATACTGCACGCTAGCACAAACCACGCCCACCATAATACGTCATATCTCCAAACATTACCGATATACTCGGAGTCAGCACATCGCACTAAATATACTGTGCTCCAACGCAAGAATACACTTTTTATGATTTTGACACGAATTCGACTGAAGCTCTCTCGTTGTCAATCTCTTGTAGGCATTAAATTCATACATCCAAATGGTCTACTGGTTAGCGCTGTCGACTTTCAGTCTTAAGGTCCATGGTTCGAATCGCTGTGAACTTGAACTTTTTTTGCAACTTTTTTTTTTCACCAATGTTTTTTTACTTCATTCTGGTTTTCCTTTTTCATAAAATATTTGAAGTCAAATAGGTTAGTGCGTTTAGGATAAACAGTGTCATTTTATTCAATTTTGTTGAAGAACTCAACTTTTGAAATATATTATTAATCAATGTGTTTCTACACTCCATTCGGTTTTCCTTCCTCAAAAATATTGCAATCAGGGATAGGTTAGTTCGTTGAGGATAAATAGTCTCTGAGTTTTGCCTAAGTAAAGTACTTTGAAGATGAGATATAACGTGGTATGTGCTACTTTTTCAATCGATTTATTTATATGAATCAGCTACGTTGTGCTGTCAAAGATTAGATTTTGCAGGATTGTGCTGGGCTCGATTATATTTTGCAATGCCGTAGTAGGGGGCGTGTCTTGTGCTGCAATAGTTTATATTTAGTAAAATCGCGGCCGGGTTTATTCAAAACAGCCTTCTTGTTATAATTTTTTTTCAAATGGGTCACATTTTACAGAAAAATTGAATAACTTTTGAACCACCAACAATTTGATAACCACATATAGAACTAAAAAGAAAAATTCAATGAATAGATAGTAAGTGCCTTCTTATTTCTGAAAAGGTTTGAAAAAGTATAAAATTAGGAACAGGAACGGATCTGCGCCTGTTTCAACATGAACATGGAAAATATTTTCTTGGCAATGATCTTTGGATTTTTATGTTGACAGTTCTTAGTGACATATGTTTTTCGTCCGCAAGCACTTTTTGTCCGCTGCAGGGTTGCCAGTTCTACTGAATTTACAGTAGATCTCCTGATTTTCATATTGATCTACTAATCTACTGAAACATTTCATAACCTACTGAAACATATTTGCATGATATTTCGGCACGCACTGTTTAAATTCATTTTACAAAATGAGTAATAAATGTACATACAGTGTGTTACAGTTTGGTCCACCCCACCCACGAACTTCCGTATTTCTCATAATATACTACTCAAAATTATTCACTTTGTCGAGAAAAAAAAATCATCGAACACATTTTCTAGGCCTACCGCGGACACCAAAAACTCCAGCAAAATTAAAGAATACGAATTGCATTTTTCAAGTCACCGCGAATAATAATTTTTGAAAAAATTTGAATGATACCAGTTATTATTGTAGTCAGGATTAGATCATCTGTCTATAGAGTGGGATAAATAACAAATAAAATCACAAAACATCCAAATGTATTATCAAGAAATGAAAAAAAGGAAAAACTGAATAGTACCAAAAAAAATAACATCAGAAGATTAGAAAAACAACTTAAACAGCAGCCATTTCTAACAAGTTCAGATTTTTTAATTCTTGATCAAATCTACTTTGCTCTCTACACAGTAAAAAGTATATGTTTGAAATAAGACGATTCACTTGTTTGAAAATATTATATTTGGTGGAGAGTTTACTTCTTCAAGTCGAAAACTCCATATTCAATAGAAGGTGCCCAATCTCTTACATGGAGAAATGATCATTCACTTCAACAGAAAACTCGAATAACTTGGCTGAAATCAAGACTTTGAAACAAGATCGGTGATTTTCAATCGGAAACGTGCAACAACTTCCAAGTGAGAAATGAAATTTTTTCTCTAGTGATAATATTAACAACTCGATCTAAGTAAAAATATCTTGTTCCAATGCAATGCTTCTATAATAATAATAATAAATGCTTTCATTGTCTCAATGAAACAAAAGGCAGAGTTCAACTCGCCGATAAATCGACAGCTACTCTTCCACTCAACCATAATATTTTACTTGAATCGCTCCTAATGGGATATGGTCTAGTTTGGTGCTGCAAGATATCTAAGCTGTGGCAAAATAAATATACTTATGATATGAGTGCATACACTTTTCATATCTCTTTCGTAGGCTATTCTCAACTCTCCTCAGTTCTTCTGGTGGTCTCTCGTCTCTTCCCTATTTCTTGGCCTGAATTTCTCACTCTGTGGCCAGATTATCTAATCCTGACTACCGTCATGTCTGGTATTATTCATATTCTTGATAATAAACACCCTTTATGAGATATTGTAATGAAAATTGTTATAGGCATATTTGTGACTAGTCAGAATGGATAGCGATCAAAATTTTTGAAAAAAATGTCCGTTTTCTTCAAAGGACCCCGCACAAAACCATAGGGAATTGGCCAACAGTGGGATTTGCCTGAAATTCACCTATGTTATTGGTATGGAGTTTCTGATCAAATGTTTTCATGTGACCAATCCTCTAAGACCAAAGATTTAGCTCTCAGAGCCGTATTTAGTATCGGTGCCAAATAAACAATGACACTTTTTTTTCAAGCCCATGACTTTTGTATCTCCCATAATAATTTAATTGAATGAGAAATGATGTGAAATCTTGGCATTTGTCTTTTAGCACAAGTCCTTTGTGAAACATGCCTTGTCCTGCAGGACCGTATTTAGTAAAACTGTATTTGCCAAAGTGCCGAATCGAATTGATTTTGTTATTACTTTCTTATTTCTTGTACTATTTCAGTGGTCGTTTGATAGATGAATGTAGATTTCTTTGTGTACATAACAAAAGTTGTCATCATCTTAATATTCAAGATGGTCGGTCTAACATTTAATGTTTATGTAGGACATATCTCGTAGCTTTTTTGGAATCATAGTAACAGGAAAAGATAAGAACACGTTTCGATTGTTGAAATCGGTCATTTACTTTTACAATACACTCCGCATGGAAACCAGACGAGAATAATGAAGAAGATGTATTGATAATAGGATACTACTGCAGTTGCAAATCAGGGGCAAGGCAACTAGGAACATGTGCTCATATTTGTAGCATATTGTGGTATTTAGGATTTGCCCGCCATAATCAAAATGTGAATTATCCATCGACTTCTGTGTTACAGCATATTAAAGATGCCGCTAATCGTCCAGTGCAAGATGCAATACTCCAGCAGCTGTAAGTGTTCGGGAATTATGTTGATAGTGAGTGCTCGACTTTTTTGTTCACCACCCTGTAAATATCGGTTTCAACTTTGTTAGTAATGAATTAGATGAATTTTAGAACAATTTTAGGTAATTGAAAAAGTAAATGACCGATTTCAACAATCGAAACGTGTTCTTACCTTTTTCTGTTACTATGATTCCTAAAAAGCTACGAGATATATGTCCTACATAAAGATTAAATGTTAGGACGACCATCTTGAATATTAAGATGGTGACCACTTTTGTTATGTGCACAAAGAAATCTATTATTATCTTTATTATTCCCAAGAAACATATATGTTTATAGCAGGGAAAATTATGAAAGAGCAACTTAAAACCAAAAATTAGATAATCAGATAATTTTTTTTTTGAAAAAACCTTTATTTTTTTTGAAAAAACCTTTATTCACATTTTTATACATATTAATTACATTTGGAAATCCCTAAGCAGCACATGTGCTGGTAACAGGATTTAATTTGGAATGTGGCATTTCACATTTCTGTACTACATATTTAGGAATACTTAATAACTATTAATCATTTTTAAATCATATACATAATACATATAATGTTGTTTCTTCTAGAGACTGTTGAATATAATTTCTTGAATTGAATCAAAGACATTCATCTATCAAACAACCACTGAAATAGGACAAGAAATGAGAAAGTAATAACAAGATCAATTCAATTCGGCACTTTGTCAAATACAGTTTTACTAAATACGGTCCTGTAGGACAAGGCATGTTTCAGAGACGACTTGTGCTAAAAGACAAATGCCAAGATTCCGCAACATTTCTCATTCAATTGAATTATAATGGGAGATACAAAAATCATGGGCTTGAAAAAAAAGTTTCATTGTTTATTTGACACCTATACTAAATACGGCCCTGAGAGCTGAGTCTTTGGTCTAAGAGGATTGGTCACATGAAGACATTTGATCAGAAACTCCATACCAATAACATGGGTGAATTTCAGGCAAATCCCACTGTGGGCCAATTCCCTATGGTTTTGTGCGGGGTCCTTTGCTCGAGTTTTTATAATAGCAATAGGATAAGAAATTGCCATTTTTTTTCCTGGACAAAGTAGATAATTTTGAGTACTATATTATATGAAAAAGAATTCTCAAATCGTCTCAAGGATACGTAAGTACAGGGATGGGGTAGACCAAATTGTAACACACTGTGGGTACTGATGAAATGTATAAACCAAAAAAGGACAATACTTCATCTGATTCAGATCAAATTCAATTTTTTATGTACCTCTGTTGCAACAGTTTGTTTCTTACGTTTATTTTTTTATTTGTTTTGTATATTTTTGGTTCATTTTCACTATTTGTTCCTGTTTTTTTTTTTTATATTTGTGAGTATTTTTGAATTAGGAATATCATTATTTTTGTATAAGAATGTTTGTTTTGTTTTTTTCTATTTTGTTGGAAATATGTTACTTGTTAAGTATACAGGGTGACACAGGCTATCGGGCCACCCCTGTAACTTCTGCATTCGTCAACGGATTTTTCTGAAATTCGGTGCAGTTATATAAGCAACTATTCCGGATTTGATCACATTAGAATCCAATATGGCGGACTTCCGGTTTTTCTGGAAATGCCAGCAATTTTGTTTTTTCAAATGGAACACCCTGTATATTTTTGCATATTCAAGTTCAACAGGTCAAAACAAGTGCAATCTTGATGTCAAATGTCATTTATTCCACAGCCTACCTAGTTGAAAAATTATTCTAACTGCAAGGAAATTCATAAACTAGTTGTTGATTTGTATACAATTTGTTACTGCACCGAAAAACAAAAATGATATTTCATTTTGTTCCTTAATGTATGTTCTAGAGAAACGGGTAGGTCGCCCATAGGGGTTCCATTTGAAAAAAAAATTATTTCTGATCAAAAAGTGATGTGGCTGAATTGATTCCTGGATAAGTGACACAAAAAATAATTTTTCAGAAAAAATTATGTTCTCCTGTTATGTGTGACTCATTGTGAATAGTCTTGACCACATCTCATTTATCCACGAGGTAAAATAAAAAAACAATTTTAATTTAAATTTTTTCGAAAAAATGACATTTGTAATAAAGATTGCACTTATTTCGACCTGTTGAACTTGAATATGTGAAAATATACAGGGTGTTTCATTTGAAAAATCAAAGCTGCTGGCATTTCCAGAAATACCGGAAGTCCGACATATTGGATTGTAATGTTATCAAATCCGAAATAATTGCTTATATAACTGTACCGAATTTCAGAAAAATCCGATGACTAAAGCAGAAGTTACAGGGGTGGCCCGATACCCTGTGTCACCCGGTATAATGGTTTGATGTTACAGGTTTATTTCATCATCATTTGTTGGAATTTGCATAGCATACAATAAATCTTAAACAGATATATTGAAATTCACTGCATTTTTGACAGGGTATGTATTTACTGATGGAATAAAAATCGAACTGGCAACCCTGATCCGCGCGGAGAGTGAGTTGACAACCGTCATTTGCTGTTGTCAAATTAACTATACACGAAATCCGATAGAGTTGACGTGTGAATAGGACCGTGATGTGAATGTGTTTGAGGTCGATGAAAAAATTGAATATGCACCAGTGGCGGCTCGTCACTTTCAAGACAGAGGAGACTGAATGATATGAGATTTATTGTGAAAAACAACTCTCTACTCACCCGAATCAATAGCTTTAATGACATTCTGTTTACCAGTTAACCTGAACTTAATACTTGAAGAGATGAGTTCCTGTGATTTGCAGTGTCTATCCAACCCGCGAGGCAAATTTTCCAAATCATTATATCCTAATCGTCTCCAACACGATGACTTATCGGTTGAAAATAATACGCAGTACCAACAAATTACCTCAGATCCCGTCAACCAGATATACTTTTTATAATTATCAGAATTGACCGAACGATTTTGTTTGTTACCTGTTACAATCAGATTTTTTAATGTGTCGGACGTGTTTTTCACAATCAATTTATCTTCATAAGACAAAGCACTGAATGGGTTCACCAAAAAGTATTCCACTAAATCGCAATCGTTCAAAACACCCATTTCTCAGAAATTTATAGAGCCACTAACCATCAACCTAACATAAACATAAACAATGCACTCGCGTTTGTCCGCAATTTGCGAAGCGACACGACAAACACGTGCTATTCGGGCGTATTTGGGCATTTGCATTGCGCGCGTAGGTTGCGCGATGTGAAGGACTCTAGACTCCTATAGAAGTTGCCAAGTTGAATATTTTACGCGTGATTTGCAGACTCCAACGTGTGATGCGTGCGCAAGCACTGTTGCCAATTCAAAAATATTTAACTAAAAACAGGAAATAAAATCAAAATCCATGTATTTTGGTGCCCTTTTAATGAGAAAGTATAAATAATATTAGTGTAAGGAAAATCTCTGAGGAGGCTCAGCCTCCGTTGCCTCCTCTGAGGAGCCGCCACTGATATGCACCTCGGCGAAAAACTTTCAATATAGACAGTGTTTCGTCCTTGTTCGATCAATTTTTTTATTCCTGAGGTGCAAAAAAAAGAGTATTGTGGCTGTTTGATAAACTCCACTGGCGGTATTGAATGACTAATTTTAGTCCCGTGTTTATTTATGTTTTCCATTTACCTACTGGCTTTGGGATACCTTTTTAGATGTATTTGGAAACGCTCAAGATAGCTGAAGTTGCAGAATCCGAATATCTCAAAATCCTCGACTGCAAGCTTGACTAAGACTTATAACCAGTGAATGGTTCAAGATGCATTATTTGTATTATTGTACTTATTGAAATACTCTGTATTGTTTTTTCAACGTTTAATCAAAAAATATATAAAAATAACACTGTTTATTTTTCATTCACATCTTGTTCTAACATTTAAATCTAATCCAAATTCAACATACAAACAACATTTGTAAAATGTATCTTGTTTGTTAAAAAAATTGGGATATCTTCAACAAAAAAAAAAGGAATAGAATACTTACTCCTAATTATAGAACAAAAGAAAAATTCTGGGATATAAATCCGAACACAAACTTCAATTCAGAGATTAAATAAAAAAGCAAGCCCTCTAGCTAGTCAAAGTAACAACGGAGCTCCCGAAAAATGCCACATCATGAGCATTGCTGGATAAAATTTTCTCCAGACAATATTTTAAAAACTTGGAAGATATTTGCTCCTACTTTGTATTTTTAGGCGGGGAACACGAATTAGATAGAGAAAATGTGAACATTCTATCAAGATATTGCAGGATACAGTTGAAAATCACAAATCGCTTTTTCTTTCATCAGTAGGCACATTTCTTGATATATAAACTAATATTGTCACACTTAACAATCTTTCAACAAAAAAAATCTGTTTGACTCAGAAATCTTCTCACTGAATTTCTAGGCCTTAGTCGATGTGAAGTTGATATACTTTGTAAAAAAACTAATGGCTGATTATGAAATAGGTGGAACATTCAAAACCAAGATGTGAAATTTATTATATTTCCATGGATTCAATGTGATTGTGTAGAATATTGCTGTCAGTATACCCAATATGTAGTAAATGAACTGTCAAACTATCTTTATGAATAGCAGTATCCATTTTCATGATCAAATTTCGTGTTTCCTGCCTGGAAAGTACAAAAGAACATGAGGAAATGGAATTCACCAAAGTTTCACACCCATCTTCATTCAAAAACAAGATCAGAAAATAAAACCTCCAATACCGTTGCGCACAACGAGAACGAAAAAATAAAAAAATCGAATACTTCCTAACTATAAGGTAATGAGACAATGAGACACGACAAGAACGTCGCCGAAGAAATAATAAAAATAGAAAAAATCAAATACCATTACAAATAGAAAAGGACGGTCTCCAGCGCCCTGTTGGCCGGTCGGTGCAACGACTGCGCCGTCAAAAACGCCAATTTGTGGGCGTACTGGCACGGGGCAGGCACTCGCACCGTCCCGCTCCAGTTGAAGTACATGTGACACAGCTTGTACGTCAGCATCTGCATGCGGTCAGGCGGCAGGCCCATCGTGTCCTCGATCACGTTGTAGCTGGTGGGGCCGACCGTGCCCTGTCTTACGCATTGCGACACGATGAAGAAGTCGTATCTGGAAGAATACGGTTCTGTTCAGAGTGTGTTCGCGGCAGGGTTGGTCGATATATATCAAGTTATATACAGTATGGTGGAAATGTATGGAATAAATTCATTATCTCTAACGCATATGAATTTGAAAAAAAATCCTGAGACAGGTCGATTTTTATTTTCAAATTGACACCTCTTGATATACATAAGGAGTTTGTAACGTCATCCGCGTAGTTGTGGTGACGTCATCGATTATTTTTTTAAATGGAAACATCCCTTTTTTTTTCGGAAGGTATATTCATTGTCTATCCAACCATATACTGATAATAGCAAAATAAAGTAATACAGGGTAAAGAAAAATTATTAATTATTTTATAATTACAACGGAAACAATTACAATAAATGAAAAATTCGACCTGTAAACATCAGAAACAATGTATATCGTCTATCGCATTGTATCATTGCAGGAGGTAACCAATTCGAACATGTATTGGTGCTGTTTCCGTTGTAAACTTAAAATAATTTTTTCTCATCCTGTATTACTTTATTTTGCTAATATCAGTATATGGTTGGATAGACACAATGAATATACCTTCCGAAAAAGAAAAGGATGTTTCCATTTAAAAAAATAATCGATGACGTCACCACAACTACGCGGATGACGTTACAATCTCCATATGTATATCAAGAGGTGTCAATTTGAAAATAAAAATCGACCTGTCAGGATTTTTTTTCAAATTCCTGTGCGTTAGAGATAATGAATGTATTCCATACATTTCCACCATACTGTATGTCACGATATGTATCATGATATACAGGGTGTTTAGTTCACCGACGTATATCTGAAAGGGGGTGATAGTTGACAACATTTGAAGAAACGTTCGAATATATAAATGTCCGAAAATTATCCGTTTCTGAGATACAGAGTGTTAAAGTGAAATTCTAATTTTTGTTTTTTGTTAATAAATCTTCAAAATAATTGTGATATTGGAATGAAATTTGGTATCCAGGGGTATTTTTCAATGACAATATCTAATTTTATGTTAGTTTGTCTCTTTCGTGGAGGTGGCGCCACCTACATGTCTTTTGAGGTCATAACTTCTTTGTGCGTACCTGTATAACGTTTCATAGTAGAAAAATAGATTTCTAGAACACTTTTGTGTAAAAAATATATCCTTGGTAGAGGTCGCTGCGAGCAACTGTTTTCGAGTTATTGGATGACAAGAAGTTGAAATTCAAAATTGATTTATTAAGTAAGGGAAATTATTTTTCTTTAATTTCATCCAAAAATAGGAATCGGGTGTTATTACAATTTAATACTAATAATGATAACAGAAATTAAGGCCAAATTGATACTAAAACAGTTAGTTGAAAAAGCTTGGATCCAAAGTACAGAAGACAACGAACTCCACACTGTCACAAGAACGGATTGAAATAACATGACAAGTACTCACTTGATTGTTATATTTTTGAATTGGAAGAGTCCAAAAAAGTAGGTACAAAGAAGTAAGAATCATATAGCCTGCATTCCAATGTTGAATGTAGAAGAATATTGAATGAAAGAAGAAAAATGCACTGGCGTATCTTTCCTGATATTCACTAGAGGCGACTTACGAGCCAGATGGAAATAATTCAAATGCATCGATTCCCATCGAATCCCAATAACTCGAAAACAGTTGCTAGCAGCGACCTCTACCAGGAATTTATTTTCAACATAAAAGTGTTCTAGAAATCTATTTTTCTACTATGAAATGTTATACAGAAACGCACAAAAAATATATGACTTTTCAAGAGCCTCAAAAGACATGTAGGTGGCGCCACCCTCACGAGAAAGAGACAAACTAACATAAAATTTGATATTGTCATTGAAAAATACCCCTAGATACCAAATTTTAATCCGATATCACAATTATTTCGAAATTTATTAACAAAAAACGAAAATAAGAATTCAACTTTGACACTCTGTATCTCAGAAACGAATAACTTTCGGACATATATTTATACGAACTTTTCTTCTTATTTTGACGTCAGCAACACGCTCCTGGATTTTCTACACGTACTTAAGAAACACCCTGTATATCAAGTGATAGAGAAGCAGAAGGGTAGTCTTTAGCTAACTAGTTGGTTACAAACTCTTAAAATATTTGGGACTGCAGCAAAACGAAGGTGTACTCTTATAACATTATATTTCCAATATTTCGACAATGAATATTGTCATCATCAGGGAGAATGTTAGTGAGAATGGTCGTTGAAAGATGGTAACTTTGGTTGATTCACAAGACACATTAGTAATTTGTAATACATTGGAAACAGTGGAACAAATAGATCAATTTTTAAAATTTAAAATTTTAAAATTGCAAACAGTAAAATGAAATTTATTTTTTATATCAAATTTTTTTTAATTATATTCGGCTTACGAAAACACATGGCCATGCTCGAATCTAGTCTCTGACAAACTTTCATAATGAAAACTATGGGAGATTACTATTCACGTGAAAAATCATATTCCTTCGTCTCTCGCTGCAATTTTTGTGCATTGTACAACAGCACGATGAGAACGCATGCTTGAATTAATGAATAGCGCAAAAAAACACGATTTGTATGCCAAAATATTGTGAAAAACTATTTCAATCCCTTGATTCCTCTGTAAACAAATAAAAAAGTGAGGTTGTGTTTCAATATTTTACCTCCAGGGTCGGTCATCGTGCACGCGACCTATAATCGAGATCCCCATGGTGGAGCTCGAAAAACGGACACCATGTATAAATCATATTATACAGAGTGTACCCTTGAACAATTTCAAGTCGAAAGTGCCGTATGCACTTTTGTCTTCAACTCAATAGTTAAGGAGTTTGTGACACGATGAAGAAGTCGTATCTGGAAGAATACGGTTCTGTTCACTGTGTTCACGGTGAGCACATATAAATCATATTATACAGGGTGCCCCCTTGAACAATTTCAAATCGAAAGTGCCGTATACAGTTTTGTCTTGAACTCAATAGTCAAGGAGTTTATTGCCTTAAACTCAATTAGTGAGGAATTATGAGCAATTGAATAACAACTTTACTCACCAGTAGACTGCATGAGGTGGTTCAGTTTTTTGGCCACCGAGGTCACCTGACCACCATCACCTTTACGGACCCATGGAAAGTTTAGTGTATTCGAATAAAGGACGACTCAGATACTCTTCAGAGCGCAAGAATGTGTTGTGAAGCAGCAGGGGAACATTTTGAACAAAACCTTGATTAAATTTGTGTAATTGATAAAAAAATTCTCAATTGATAAAATATTACATTGCTTTATTCAACATTATCTGTGCTTCATTACACACTCTGTCAAATTTAGTATTGCTCATTACTACTCAACTATAGAATTTTGAACAAAAATGTATAAGGCACTTTCGACTTGAAATTGTTCAAGGAATATGCCCTTAACACGTCAACTCTAACATAAAATATAGGTCATACGTGGAAAAATTCTTATTTATAAACCATCAGCCGCGGCAGTCAATCTACATTTGCTGCCGTGTGAAACATATATTTTTCTCTCCAAATGTTATTTATTCATCCAATGTAAGTGTCAATTTTAATTGTCAAAGTAAAACCTTTCCTGCCTGTTGAGTGTCAGAGAAAAGCCACTTTCTATGCGGCTAGGAAAAAAAAATATTTTTGATTCTTGATAATTTGATTTTATTTTAGTCTTAAACGTTAGGATTTACAACAAAAAGCACTAGAGGATGGAACCAGAACAAAAACTGTATATTCTGGGACCAAATTGTCCGCGTTGATTTTTCCACAAGTTGTGTTAATTTATTTCCTGGAGTAATATTGTGTCTCGTACAAAAACAGAATAAATAATAAAACTTTATCAAACTGCTTGGTATTTTGCCTGATTCAGAAAGAGTAGTTGGGGATTGATTTGGGTAAAATACTCGCAAAACTATCATCTAACATTAAAAATGTACTTGACCCAGTGGCGGATCTACGATTTCTGGGGCCCTAAGCTTGATAATTCTTGGGGCCCTTGTGGCCCCTACCCATCATTTTTTCTCCTCCTGTTATTTCTTCTCACCAATTTTCCCATCTAACATTTTCTGACCAAATAGAAGCGAAAAATGCATGATGAAAATATATACAAGGAACAAAAAAAAGTGCATTCATTGATATGGTTTAGGATATAATAACAAATAAAAAAAATCAGAGCCACATGAAATAAAATGAACGTAACTATAACACTGACTAGGATCAGATACGTTCAAAATAAAAGAACTAAACCGTAACGAAATTACTAGGAGAAACATACTACGATATCACTTCCAATTTTCTGATTCACGAATCTGCGAATACTTTCATTGCACCATCATAAATCGCTCATCAAATCACTTCCGATGGAAAGCATCCCCAAAGTTTGTTATGTTCTCTTCGGAATTAGGTACACAATTTGATTTGATCATTGATAATTTTGAAAATAAACGCTCTCCTCCGCAATTGGTCACTGATGGCAGTGTTGAAAACAAGTTCAATGTAGTATTTTTGCATTGAAAAACACGTCCATCATTCCTTCAGTATATAGGGTCCCGCCGATTTCATAGGAACATTATTACTATTTCCTCAACGGTATACGTTTTGCAGATGAAAAAAAATTGCCGTTCCTGAAAAATTGGAATGAAAAAACAGAAAATCATTTTGTTTTTACTGTTGATATTTTATCTAAATCGAAACGGCACATGTTTTTTTTTTCAGTTTGCAAAATGCCATATCGAGGAAGTTATTGAACTTTTGTCGGATTTAAGCAACTTTCTTTCCCTTAACCGGCCCACTGTCGCTATGAGATCGGCAGGACCCTGCTTATGGTTTTCAACATTTTTGGAATGTTGCCGCTGCTTCTAGGTAAATAAAATGAATACCTATTGCTCAAAAGAGAAATTCATTTCAATCATTATTTCATCTATACAAACGAATGATATGGGAAAATAGTCATGCAATGCCAGGGCCCCTCGGGGGCCCCTGCAAGGGTCAGGGCCCTAAGCTTGAGCATACTAAGCGTACCGGTAAATCCGCCACTGACTTGACCCAATTCGTGTTCGGCCGTTAACGGAATGATTCTCAAAAGTTGCTGCCAAACTTAGAATTTCAATATTATCCAAAATATTTTTGTTCATCAAAAATGTATTTGTTCACTTCAACTTGTTTTCTCGTTTTCTATTACCCACTTCATTTATCCCCACAATTCTGGAAACACCCTGTAAGAACCTCGAACAGAAAATTCATCTCACCTTTCCGGCAACGTGATTACATCATCGACGACCGTACCGGGCGGCGGGTTGTCCCTTTCGGTGAAGATCCTCGTATTGATGCGCTTCGAGACGACGACGAACGCCATCTTCAGGTCCCCATTGGGATATATTTCCTGAGTCAACTTCTTCTTGATGATGGCGATCTCGTGCTCCTTGACGTAGGGCAGCTGGCCGTCGCCTACCGCGTCACGGTAAATCAGAATCCTGTGGAATAAGTTTACATTTAGTTATGAAATGGAATTTCATTCGAAGTTTCCTTTGAATATATGAAAAATTATTTTAATTGTGAACCAAGTGCATGTTCGGTAGATTTGAGATACAGATTTGAAATGGCATGTCAGTGATTAATTTTGTGAAATGGACTTTCACACCAATCATAACTTCTGAAAGTTTCAAATCTACAGCATGTCTCACTTCAATCGCCCCCCCCCCTCCAATTTAAGCTATTAGTGGTGCGATTCTTGGACGGGTATGAATAATCATCAATATAATGAGTTTTTTCTACTCACATAACTTAAATGGCATTTAGCGTACGGATATGTACCACGCTAAATGATCGATTAATCACGGATTGTCGATCTGTGATTTATTCAAAATATTAAACACATTACCATGGCAACACGATTTCATAAACACATTACCATGGCAACGCAGTTCATTGAACACAGCTTCAGTAATTTGAGACATGTCTGACCTGTCAATTGTATTAACTGTCAACTGTTATTTTCGAGTTTTGTATCAGAATTATTCAAACAATTTTCGTTTGTATCAGAATTCTTCATTAAAAATATATGCGAAAAGTAGATGAAAGTGAAATCGAACAGAATGTTCTGGTACTTGCTTATCTCCAAGAAGTGTAAAAATGAAGCATCCATCTCTGAGAACAATTTATTTATTCTGCGCTAAGCATGACAATAAACGTGAAACAAAGGTTAGCAAGCAATGGACTGGACACATCTACAACCAATATCATATACGTGTCTCGCTGGTTGCATGCAGTTGCATGTATTATGTTCTCAATTCCCATTCCTTTCGAATTATTTTGTAGGTTAGCAGGAATTGCAGGTATGTTGAAGTAATTTTTGGAGTTTGTAGAAAAATCATAGTATGTAACGCGTTTATAAACTCTTCTAGACACTCGTTTATTAAACACTCGCTCCGCTCTGCTCCGCTCGTGCTTAAACTACTCGTTACTGAAAGGACGTTTATAACACTTGTTACATAATATACTATTTCAGACGAACATCCTTATGGACAGTGCCGAGCTTTCTATTGAAATAAAAAGGGGTCGATTTTTATGAAAAAACATATCAGGTTGTTTTTGCAAGAAAACCAACTTCATATTATTGTTCTTCATTCTTTCGAATCTCCATATGCTAAAAATAACCTCATTCCAAACAAGATTGGCTAAATTTTTTTCATTTTCTGTCTGGAAAAAGTAGTGAATTTAGATTAACTGCAAATTTTGGAACATTCAATGGCTCCATTAGGTAGAAAAACATGGTTTGAAAGAAGAAAAAACAAGATGTACTGCTTTTTATACTCACATAACTAAAATGGCATTTAGCATAGGGATATGTAACACGCTAAATGGTCAATTAATCACGGATTGACGATCTGTGATTTATCCAAAATATCAAACACGTTACCATGGCAACAGTGTTTTTCAAACACACCTTCAGTCGTTGAGTCCTGTTCGGCCTGTCAATTGTGGGAAATGTCAACTGTCATTTTCGAATTTTGTTGCTATCAGAATTATTCAAGCGATTTCTGTTCCTATCAAAATTCTTCATTAAAAATGTATGCCACATGTAGACGAAAGTGAAATCGAAGAGAATTCCAAGAATCCTAGGTATAAATGAAGTTCTCGTCCTTTTCAAAAATTGAATCTATGCTAAGCATGACAATAAACGTAAAACACAATATTAATTTGAGCAAAATTATGCAATCAGAATATAGAAACAATCCTGAGCAATCAAAAACTTTGATACCTCAGCGAATCGAAGAGTTTTCATCTGCTACATCATATGACATCTTATTCACAAAGGTCAGTCAACAAGCCATTCTAATTGAAATTCATCTATCCTATGGACTGGACGCACTTCTACAACCAATATAACTTATATCTGTATATTTGATTGCATGCAGTTGCATAGTATTATGCATTATGTTCTCATTTTCCATTCCCATCGAATTAATTTGTAGGTTGGCAGATAGGATATAATCTAACTTTCAGAATTATGGGATCTTGTGGAAGAGAGGAATTATAAGTTCCTAGAAAAAGTATAGTATGTTAGCGTTTATAAACTCTTCTAGACACTCATTTATTAATGCGCTCATGCTTTAAATACTTGTTACTAATATAATATATAATATACTATTATGTTGAACCTACCGTTTCCGAGTAATTACGATCGCAAAAATGCTGCTGAGATGTGCTTGTGTTCTTTTAATCATTCATAGGAATTATATGAAAATTCACATATGGGAGTTTGAAACCATGAAGAACAATATTATGGGGTCAGTTCTCCTGTACAAGAATTTCTAATATGATATCATAAAAAAATACCAATTTTCATTTCAACAAAAACGCATGGCACAATCTAAAATAATGTTCTTCTCTGAAAAAATGATTATATTGATGGTTATTCATACCAGTCCAATTTTGGTAAATATCGCACAACTAATAGCTCAGATATAGGGGGGGAACGTTTGAAATGAAACACCCTATATTAATGAAGAAATTTACAAATTGAAAATTTCACTTTCACAGCTCAGTGAAATACTAGGATTTTGGAATTTTCAAATGGGGAAATGTTCTTCGGAAAACATCAATAATTGTCCCAACCATACCTGCCGGAAAACAGTCCGTGGATCTCCTTGTACTTAAAGATCGCAGGACTAATAGCTCAGATATAGGGGGGGGGGGGCGTTTGAAATGAGACATGCGTATAATGTAGAAATTTCCGAATTGAAAATTTCAATTAAAATGTTCAAAGTAGTTTCACAGCTCAGTGAAATACTAGGATTTTGGAATTTTCTAATTGGAAAATGTCAATCATCCCAACAATACCTGTCGGGAAACTGGCCGTGGATCTCTTTGCACTTTGAGATCGCACAAGTAATAGCTCAGATCATTGTCTGCTAAATATGGAGAAAAAAATCTAGTGAGCTGGAATTACTGGTCTTCCCTATAGCTCAGTTGAGTGTATGACCACTAGAGGATGTTACCGTATCGTACGAAATGATCTTCACTTTTTTCTAGAAAATTTTCGAAATTTGTGGTTATGTGTAAGTTGTCACTAGTTGTCAATGTCAAGAGCTGTCATGTCATCGTGATTTGTTTTGTATTTTTTTTCTAAAATATCATTCTTTTTCAATTCTCATTGTTCTAATATTCCTTTTGTTTATAGATATAGTTTTGTGTTGTGCTCCCAGTATTATAGTAGTTTATTCTGATTATCAGTGTGTAACAAACTCTGTCTCATCTTATTGTGCCTACCAGAAATTGTGAAACCATCTCCATTCATGGATTTCCAAGTGATATTTCTTTGTGACATAAGTGGATACTTTCGATATTGAGTGTTACAGGATCATTACAAGTAAGAAAATCAGAGTCTTCATCAAATGCTAATAATCGATACTACTAATTCTACCTCTCATGGGAAAAACGATTCCATCTGGTTCAAGAATAGGTGTCATGACAAATCATCATTTCCTATGCGAACTGAAAGCATTGGATCATTCTCCTATAGGATCTAATTCCTACAGATTCGAGAATCGGGCCCCAGAGCTGTAAGGGCCAGTATGCCAGTAAGGGGGCTCGGTTTCTACATATCTGTGATATCTACACAACTGCATGAACTATTTTTGAATTTTTGAGTGACTGAGTGACCGTGACCCGTGAATGTCGTGACTGAACTCGAAACTCACTGACCAAACTACGCCGCCGTCCGAGACTGCCGAGAGCACCACTGAGGGAGGCTCCAACTCATTTACGATTTTTAAGGTTATGTAGGTTTGACAGGAAAACAATTTAAATGAGTGTTTCCTCGAGTTGACCGTATGGCGGTACTACTGTATCGGCCACAGAACCCTGTAGGTGATTTCCCTTGTTTGGACAGACCAGATACTCCAGCTCACTATTTTTTCCCCATATTAAGCAGACAATGGCACAGATATAGAGGCGGAGCCGTTTGAAATGAGACTGTACAATGTAGAAATTTCCGAATTGGAAATTTCAATAAAAATTTTCAAAAAAGTTTCAATTACACAGCTCAGGGAAATATACGGATTTTGGAATTTGCAAATTGAAAAATTCCTACCTGTCGGGAAACTGGCCGTGGATCTCCTTGTACTTGTGACAGGCGAGCAGCAAGAACGAGGCGAAGTTCTCGCTGAGCTCCTCGTCCATCTTGTGCTCGGCCACGCTGTTGAAGAAGCGCGTCATCTGCTTGTCCATGGAGGCGACCATGGCGGCGAAACTCTTGCCCTTGTTGACCGTGTCGCGGCACACGTCGTAGCCGACGATCATGAGATGGGTCAAGGGCATCATTACGGTCCACGGAGCGCCGCCCACTTTGCAGTTCAGCTGGATGGCCACTTTGGTGGCTATGGACATGACCCCTGGAAAAGAAGGAAATGCGTTATACATAGAAGTCTTTAATGAACCACGAAACATTGAATTTTCACTCTAAAAGACATGTCATGTAAAAAAAGAAAATTATTAACCATTTCATTTCGGGTTAAATTTTGATAGTCGTGCTCTCAAAACGGGGAAAATTTAGCGTTGCGGGAACACCCGTCTCCCGCAACCACAGGATAACTTGTGAATGCGATTTTTTTACATATTACAACCCAAAATAAGTTCTATTTCTAGTCTTTATTCAGAATGAAATGTTATAATGCGATTCCTTATACCTATCTATAATGAATTGAAAATATTCCCATACATGAAATGGAATTTGATATTATTTGACAGTGTGATACCTTTCAAAACATTTTATAATACATGGTGAAACATCACAAGGCGCAAAGCAGAATTAAGTTTCTTTTAGCATACAACAAATCATCAATTTGACCGTCATTGAGATATATTCGAGCCATCTTGGTTCAAATTCACTTGAAACAAATTAAAACCAACCAACTGATGAAGTTACTACTTCGGTACTGAAATATTGAATAAAATGAAAACCGCATCCACAATCGTTAAATCCTGTTGAGATATGTTTAGTTGCATCTTGACATATCAATATACGTAGACAGGAACGCCGGGCTCCCGCAAAGAATGCGTTAAAAACACGTGCGTGAAAAGCCGTCTCCCGCTTACTTGGTGTACAAACGTTTCGCGGGTTTTTCCGGTTCCCGCAAGGAAAGGGTTAAGTCACCTTGTGTACAGTTGTTATGCGATAGTACAGACACTCACCGTACGGATTTCAAGTAAAAATTTCACTCATCTTGAACGATTTCTGTGACACAAAAACCCTTAGTTCCACATCCGAATCATAGGTCTTCATATTAACGCTGGTTGTTTGAAGTTCCCAAGATTGCATATGTATTGGAATAGGAGTTTGAAAGTTGATATTTTTCCAGAAACAATGACGATAAATAGATTCTTCAAGCTGAGAAGCACTTTACACTGCGTCAATAATTTAACAGGTCAAAATGGTAATGAGAAATTGTGAAAAGTTCGTCAATTTTCGATTCTGTGTTGCAAAGATGCCAACAGCTTGAAGTTGAAAAGAATGTTTGTGTAGATGAGCAAATTATGCTATTCAAAGGACGATCTACAATCAAACAATACATAAAATCTAAACCGCATCCATGGGGCATAAAACTGTTTCTTTTATGTGGGGAAAGCAGTCTAACCTAGAATTTTATAATGTATCAGGGCAAAAAAAACGAGCTCAATGGGGATATGATGAAAAAGTTTGGACAAGGAGCCTCAGTTGTATTACATGACACTAGTTCATAAGAACCTGGTAAACATGCAATATATTGTGATAATTACTTCATGAGTTATCGCCAGATGGAACTAATGAATCACAAAACATGAGAATTGAACTATAATACACAACTCCCAAATTTCGTCTTTCCAAAGCAAGTAAATATGCCAAAACATGAGAATTGAACTATAATACACAACTCCCAAATTTCGTCTTTCCATCTTCAATAATAAAAAAGTTATGGGGGTGAGCCACCATGAAAAATCACCCGGTATATGTTCATAGGAACCCACATTGGGATTTACATGTTAAAATTTCGTAACATAGCATTATTCCAACTCACATAGGGTTTTACCTATTGGGAATTCCAAATTTCATAATTATTGTAGTTATTCAATCTCTGTCTCTAATCTTTCACTTAATAGTTATGCCTTTATTGAACTCAATAATGGAAGAATTCGAGAAAATTAAAATAATTAAAATGATGCAGATTATATGAGAGGAAAAAGTTCCCACAATCACCTGTAAGGCAACACTGGATGAAATGTCCAAAACGACTTGGCAAAAATGTACCTAAAAGATAGCATGGAATTTGCAAACAAAAAATTCGAAGAGTATAAACAACTACATAGTGTTCAATCTTCAATTAAATTCCCCATATTATATGAAACAATGAAAATGACTTATGAATCAACGGGCGTTATGAATCATAATGCCCGCTTAACCCTTTCGCTACTAAAGGGTCTTATATGTCCCAAGAGGTTTTAGTTCTTAAAAATACGGCATCATTTTTTTTTCGAAATTATTATTTTTTAATGAATTATCAATAAACGCTACTTTCTTGGTAGAATTTTACAAACAATGAAATAGTAGGTGGTCATCTAGGCAAAATACGGCTTGGGACATATATATCCCTTTAGTGATATAAAGAGGGGCGTATATGTCCCGGGCGTATTGTAATGAAAACACCTGAGCATTTGTTGATGTTATAGGTTGGTAAAGTCGAGTTTTGCGCGGGCACATTGATTCTCGGTACTCTCAGAACGGTTGGGACAGTGTCAAATCTGGTTTATGATGCGTTCAAAGGCTAACAGTATTCTATAAACTTTTAGTGGGACATATATAACCCAATAGTAATTTTCAACCAATATTTTTTGAATTATAGCCGTATTGAAAGGGTTAAATGCCCCGTGTATCCAAGGTATTTCAAATAAATAATATAAGAGCGAAAAATAGGGAAAAAAACGAATCGAAACTAAGCACAGCAACTCACCCTTGGATGTCAGATTCTTCGCCAAAATCACTTGCGTCGGCACGCCGCGATCCACGCAGCACTTCTTCTTAATCGCCGAATACCTATCCGCCGAATTGTTCGGCACCACGCACATGATCATCGACGGGTTGTTCTTGCTGATCAAGTTCTCGATGCATTCCAGATAGCTGTGCGACCTATCGTCGTTGATGTCGAATATCCTCGGCGCGCCGATGTCCCAGCGCATACCGCGCGCCGACTTTTGCAGGCATTGGACGAAGTCCTGGCAGGCGCCCTTCAGCTTGACGGGGCAGACGACGGCGAAGCGCGGTATCTGGCCGGCGACGAACATGGGCAGCGCGCGCAGCTCGCGCGTCCAGTCGGCTTGAGGGCCGGCCGGGTATTTGGCGTTGTTGCCTGTCGAAGGGATGGAAAAACCGGTCTTGTTCAATGGTCTGAAGAAAGTTGGGCGGGAAGAAAATCTTATGCCCTCCGCACACGGGTCGATCGGCGACATGGGCGACGCTATTGCAATGACGTCACAATTTCTGCATTCGTACGATTCAAGAGACGGGAGTGTGTGTCATCCGCATATGGGTCGACGTTTTTTGTAGTCGACTCGCGTCTGATCAACCTAGTTACTCTATTTTTTGCAACTTCAAAAAGAAATGTTTCGCTGAAAATTTGCAGTTCCAATGGCGAGGAGGACATATTCATGTTTTTGTGGCACCGGCAGATCAGGAGAAGAAGAAGACAACGAAGTTTATGGGTGCATCCGTACATTGCACGAAATTTTCACACTCAACTTTTTGTTACTGCAAGTGAAATGCAAGAGAGTGACACAAAATTTCTGGCATTTTATAGAATGTCGAAGGAATCATATATTGATTTAGTGGAAACTCTTGCTCCAGCCATAAATTATATGGATTCAAATATGAGGGAATGTGTCAGTGCAGAAGAACACATACTAATAACATTGATGTGAGATTCATTTATTTCAAAAAATCAAACAGTTCCTAAAGTTGAGAGTATAAATTGGAAACATAAGATTATATGTTCTAGTTACTGAAAGTAAAGAACTAAGGTAGGTAACACAAATATTCACAATGATTGAAAAATTATTGAACAACTTTCTCCATTGAGACGCAAGATTCACTCGATCAAACTGCTTCCTTGCTAATCGCGTGAGACTGAAAACGAGGAGATCTTAAATCGTACGTTTCTAGACGACCACTAAACGACCCGTGTGCGGGATCCAGATGCTTTGCTTAGGAAGTCGAGTAGAGGGGAGACCGTCGTACGATTCGAATCGCGTCGCCCATGTCGCCGATCGACCCGTGTGCGGAGGGCCTTACAGTTAACTCCACCAAAACTATACTTTATTCAACGTTGGAATTGGGACATGTTTCGGAGCTTCAAAGCTTCATCATTAGCAAAAATTATTTGAAGACCACAGTGGAAAAAGGGAGAATATTACAAAAAGTAAGTTTTCAGAAAAACGCATTTCAAAGTTTGAAACCTCTTTACTTTTTCGAAGTTGGAGGAAACTGAAAATAAGTCCAAAAATTCAAGGAAAAAATGGGGAATGTCCAAATAAATTGTCAAAAACGGAGATTGTTTACTCGCAAATATCTCTATAGTTTGACCATTTTCTATTAATTCCACGCAATGAGTAAGAATCATCATGTAGCAATCTCATTATTTCAATCCCATCACTCAGACGTACTTTCATCATTAGCAAAAATTATTTGAAGACCTCAGAGGAAAAAGGGGGAATATTACAAAAAGTAAGTTTTGAGGAAAACGCATTTCAAAGTTTGAAACCTCTTTACTTTTTCGAAGTTGGAGGAAACTGAAAATAAGTCCAAAAATTCAAGGAAAAAATGGGGAATGTCCAAATAAATTGTCAAAAACGGAGATTGTTTACTCGCAAATATCTCTATAATTTGATCATTTTCTATTAATTCCACGCAATGAGTAAGAATCATCATGTAGCAATCTCATTATTTCAATCCCATCACTCAGACGTACTTGACAAGTCCAGTCAGCACAATCATTTGTCGTCAATCGAACAACTCTTCACCAAAACTCGTTTATACATAGAACGGCAAGGCTTTGGAATTTTTTGCCAAACAGAGTACTCCAAAGAACTCATAATCTCGAAAAGTTGAGAAAAAAAAACAATACCTACCTCCTTTCCCTATCCTTCCTAGGTACCCACGATGTTCCCTGAACATTATAGGAAATCCCTTTCGTACGCTCCAAGAGAAGTTGAAAGGTTAAACCTATTAAAATCACACTGGAAGCTGTATTCCAGCAAGCACTAAACTTGGACGTTCCCCTTTCTTCACATTTTCGAAGTGGACATTCCGCGCTTTTCCATGTGAACGTATTTTCGAACGAGCATGTTAGCTGACTATGCTGCGTTATTGCTATGGACTTAGATGGATCGACTCAGATTTCTAAAGAAAGCTTGGTTTCTTGTTGTGCGATTTTGGCTTTGGCGATGCTACTGATGAAACGTGAAAATGTTATTATAGGTCAATTTGAATTGGTTAGCAACTATTGACCATTAATAACATCATCACGTTTCATCGCTAGCATCGCCAAAGCTAGATTCGCCCAGCAAGAAATTAAGCATAAGCTTGGTTTCTTGTTGGGCGATTTTGACTTTGGCAATGCTAGCGATGAAACGTGGATGTTATTATTGGTCAATTTGAATTGGTTAGTTACCATTTACCAAAGCGGGAGCGATTTTTTCATTTTATTGTGTTCATAGTTGAAAATGTTGATTAACAATAATACTTAGAACCGAAAAACGAAGTAAAATATAAAACTACCACTCTTGAGCAGAGAAGCTTTTCTTTGCAAATCAGTTTCCAAAAATCTGAAGAACGAGATGCTCTAGCTTTAAAAATATGTGACCTAACCTGACTACAACAAATTGAGAATCGGTTAAGTTGCTGATTATAACTGTGCAGCAGAGAGAAAGAGAGAGAAAGAGAGAGAGAGAGAGAGAGAGAGAGAGAGAGAGAGAGAGAGAGAGAGAGAGAGAGAGAGAGAGAGAGAGAGAAAGAGGGAAAGAAAGGGAGAACGAGAGAGAAAGAGAAAGACATTGATGACAATGCAATGGAATGTCGTGATCTCAACTGATGAGTAAGACAACAACACTTGCTAATATCACATAATATTTTCATACAAATTGAACACTGAGCAGTGAGCATGCTTCCTACTGAAAGTGGAGAAGCATTCTAGCTACAAAGTGCCGACAATTATTTTTTCACAATCTGTATATTGTTAGATCTTTGTGCATAGTAGTAACTTGACATGAACACAAGTTCCATTATTTATGTTGAATAATTTGGTGCTCACTGCTCAAATCATAATATTTAACTGATGTATCTTGAAAGTTTCATGATCTACCTGACTTTTGACATTTGAAATTTTCTGACGTCTGTCATGTCAATTTTTATAACCTCCAGTTTCACGCACATGTGATTCTTTCTCTTTAACATCAAACTTTCAGTTTGATTTTTCAAAGTTAAATTATTACCTTTCGGTAATTCAAGGGCACGTGGGCCCTTGTGAAATATGAACCCGACCTTTAAATGATGAATTTATATTAAAATATATAACATAATTTTATATCATTTTACAGTGACAGTAAGTTTTTCAGGTTTCTTCACTTTTTCTCTTATTATTTTAAATCAATTGTTTTCCAGATCATGTAGCATATTTCCTTGTTTGCACTGTTATTAACTATACCATTTGTATGCCAACTTTTTTTCATTTCCATGTAAATACTAAGTAATTCTTGCATCTATATCCAAGTCAACACTGATATTTCTAGAACTATGATATTTTCTATTGGCTGATGATGGGCTCATATGAGCCCGAAACATGTTACTTTAAGATTGATGTTTGATCATTCTAATAAATGTTGTGGAGATGACTTTGGGTTTTCATCTATGAATTTGAATGATACTATTAAATTGGCAGCATTCTATAGAGGTTCTAATAAAATGACCTCTTTTTCACAGAGGAAACGAATAAAATGACCCACTTTTACCAACTAGAGATCCTTACCGCCGACTATGGTCTCTTGTGGCAGCACCCTGCCCTGGAACCTGACCAGCCTATCGGCCAGATCGAGGTCCCACTTGCGCACCTCGGCCAGCGCCTCCGGCGACCTGCGCATGCGCATGCTGAACTCGTTCAGCTTTTCCATGCGCTTGGTGGGACCGATGCGCGTGTGGTCGGCCATCGCGCGCATCAACTGGAAGTTCTCGCGCTGCCTGTCGACAGGAATGGCAACATTTCACTTTTACATTCGCATTCGAAATTTCACTGGAAAATTCCATGCATCACAGGGGATTTCACGATTAACGTGCAATACTGTGGGCAGCAGATTCCTTGACCGATAATGAGAAAGATGCTTCCATAAGATATCAAGTAAAACTCACTTTTGCCAACAAGACAATTGGACGAAGGAATTTTGCATTATGTGGTACAACATTATTTTGAATACATTACGATCTCACAAACTATTTTTCTTGGTAAATAAACAGTATTATCATTATTATTATCAAACAAACAACTGAAATATCAAATGAACTATAATTCGAAAGTGGAAATTGTGTTGAATATAGCACAGTGAATGATGTTCTAAATGAGAATAACGAATGTCGAAAGCGTCTGTGAGGAATAAATCTATTGTAAAGTGACCCAGAGTAATTGCAACCCAATGAAATGTAGTTAGAACTGTAAATAAATGTTTATTGACTATAGGTCATCTCCCTTAACAAATGTTCACTATAAGCAACTAGTTGATCTGATCTGAGCACTTTTACACTGAGACTAAAATTCAGATTAACTGTATCTCAAGTGAAAAAAATTTTCTTACCCAATACCATCTAGCTTCAATTGAAAACCGGATATTTTTTCGAGAATATTTCGAACATTTTCTCATGTCCAAGAAAATCTCGTGATATTATAACTAAAAATGTCAATCCTACCTGTCTGTGAGGCCAGTCAGTTTGCACAGCTCGGGCACCAAAAGGACGGTTTCCGGCATGCCGGCTCTGATTTCCCTCTGGCTGGATCGCGACACCAACATCGGTTGGGATCTCACCTGGAATAAGGTTGGTTTACTTCGAAAGGATACGCCTTTGGAGGAATTTTCATAAAATAAGTTCCAAACTCCACAGTTTTATGTCTACGCTGTACAGAATGGCGATCGATAAAGTTCGTCGTTTTATTTTACAAAATAAAGCAATCTCTAAATTTCGGGGTGGTAACTGTGACATACATACAACTTAGCGTACAGCCAACGAATAAAACACGAATGAACAAAATAGAAAAAGAAGAAAATGACAACTTGTCGTCGTTAATGATTATATCATGAAAAATTATCAACTAATAACAAAACAACTATTCACGGTAGTCAGGGTCATCATCGCAACGTCATACGATGACTTCTACGGCGAATGAACTGTAGACATAGGCTAACAAAGTAACAAATAACTGAAAATCAAAAATAGAAACAAGTAAAACTGGTAAACAAGAACATACATAACCACAAATCAAGTTCTCGGTATTTTGTGTGGTGTGGATGGGCTCAAATGATTATGCGCTGTTGCAAGATATAATCTGCAACTTTCAAAGAACGATTTCCGGAAACCTAGACATATTCATGATGCCGGCAACACCGTACAGATAAAGGGAATCGTATTTTAACTTTGTGTGAATGTGGGTTTTCAGAAAGTACTTAATAGGACTGGTGAAGGAGCCAAATTTTTTCTTCATTTATTTTTTTCAGAAGTGAAATTTGATCTTACGTGTATATTAAATTTTTACAAACTTCACAGAGAGATAAACAACTAAATATTTTAAACTTCGACATTCACATACGAAGTCCCGAAATTACTGGTTTTCAGAACGAGTCGACAAGATTTCACGATGATCCGTGATACCAAGTCAGCAAGCCCATAAAAAGTTTGTACTTTCCAGGCGGTTGAGGACACAATTCATCATTCAACTAGTATGAAACAACTGTCTGTACAGAACTAACATCAACAACAAACCCTAGATAGCCGCGACGCTTCAATGTATTGGCGAATTGAATAAATGAAATCAATTCTCTTCAGAATTCCCACAATTCATTACACAGCAGGACATTTATGCTATCTTCTGGATAGTTTATGGAATCATATTTCAATTCTGATGTTCAAAGAATTTATTGTCAAATTCAAACAATTTAGAATGAAAAAACGCGGAACGACTATGGTGCTATTGTTAGAATTCAAGGTGTGTAACTTAATAAATCTAAACATTCAAAAACACCAACTGTTGTCATTTCTGTGCCCGAAATCTTATCTAACCAGTTACTCTGATGTTCACATCCGACCTAACTAGGATTACCTGTTGTTTTATGCTGAGTGTAGTTTTTCGTTATAAGCATCAATAATTCAGTCTTTCAAAAAAAGTTTGCAGTTCTGTTTCGTCAAGTCATGTTTCCGTTTATAATTTTTGATGCGTTTTATTGCGGTCAACTGGTGGTACTAGAAGGAAGTTTGCTAATACAGGGTGTCCAAAATTGCTGGGGCACAACCACCATGTGTAATAGTTACAGAGGGTTACAGAGGCGAGCTATTCGAATCATGGCGGGTCTGTTTCAGGGGGGACTGCAGACAAGCATTTAAACATTTCAATATACTCACCTTACTATCTCATTACATACTAGAAAATCTGATGTATGTGAAGGATAATGAGGATAAATTCAGAGTGCATAGTGGGGTCCACAACTATGATACAAGACAAAAAAACTTGCTCATCCCAGCTTATCATAGGTTGAAAAGGTGTCAAGATGGCCAGGCTATCTATCCATGAAATTTTTCAATACTCTACCAGATTCCATAAAGAACTTGGAACGAGATAAATTTAAGAATAAAGTTAAGCAGATTTTGTATCTGAATTGCTTTTACTCATATGATGAATTCCTCACACACAAATTTTAATAATTTTTTCTAATATTTTCTTTTTATAATCAAATGTTTTAGTCTAATTTTAATTATACTATATAATTGGATTGTAGCTCCACTATATTGTGCCTAAAGTCAAACTTGCATTGTGCTCATAATTTTGACAAATATTGAAGATTTTGATTCCCTGTTTTTACAAATGTATGCTAACCTGATTACTATAGTTTCCTACTGTTTTGACGAGTGTAAATACCTATGTATAATGACATGAAATATATTGAGTATTGAATAGAGGTCAAAATAATAAATAAAAAACACGTTTTTGTTCAGTGTTAGAAATGAGAAAAACAAATCTGATGAAATTTGACAAGTGTGCATTTCAGTAATCATAGATACCCCAAATAATTGATAGAAGGATTGAAACTACCCTCACACCCTGACATTTTTTACAAAACAAACTCAAGGTTAGTAATATGGTGCTCAAATTTTCTAACGAGAAGACATATTAAGTATGTTAGGCCTATAAAAACTATATACTCTCCATATTTTCCGAAGAGAAAAAAAAATGCTTTCTTCAATAATGCTAACAGGTATTCCCAGTAAAAATTCAATAACATTGTAATACAAAATTTAGTTTCCAGTTGAAATAATTGCACAACGTTTTTTATAATAAATATTCAATATGAAGGCCACATTCTTCTCTCGGACAAACGATACATTTTGCTACATAAATAAATTGGGTCCTATCAACTTATTTTGACATATATTACATTAGGTAGCTCCCAGCAATTTTGGGACACCCTGTATACAATACAACACCTCAACTTCGTTTTACTGATAAAATTGATGGAAAATATGGAAGAATAACTTGAATTCCTTAAATACTGTCTGTAGGTTAATCGAGGAGGTGGTATATTCATTATTCCAAATTTTTTGGGATTTTCTCTCCTAGTGAATTTTTCTTTTAGGCTCTCTGATAGGAAAATTCTTTAAACGCAGTGACATTTTGGGGCAAATCATCTGATTTGTCCTTACTACACGTATATTGAAATAATATTCATATTTTTATTTTATAGAAACTAGGAGAGAAAATCCCGAAAAATTTGGAATAATGAATTGAATTCCTTAATTGAAACCTAGAATGTACAAAAATAATCATAGAATGAGAATATGTATTTTTTTTCCTTTATACTATCCGTATTCCATATTCTACTGGCTATTCTATATTTTGACCATGAAAGATGAAGTGACTGATAGGAAAATTTGATGTCAATAAAACGGCAAATTGCCAACAAGTAGTGCCAGAAGTGAGCAATAAAATGCAAATGAAACCACCAAAGACCCTATTGCTGAAACATTATTACTATGGTGGTTTACTGAAATAAGGAAACTAAAGGATTTTTTTTGCAAATAAGGAGAGGTATGTTTCAGCTTACCTGGATATTGATGTTTTGTTTCGTTCTGTAATATTCAATAAAAGAAATTTGCGTTCCATCTCGCATCGGGAATGTACTTTCTGGAGTGATGCCGAACTCCACGTCATCAATTCTGTATGTCTTATTGTTGTAGTATGTCAGAACTACACTACCAATGATTTTCGACTGGAACTCAGCACGTGGATTGCCACTTCGGCACTCGAGGAGCATGTCATACACGTTGTCAGTCCTCATGACCTTGAACGCCACATCCGCGTTCATTAAAATATTTTGCTCATGCTGACGCATGCTTGTATAATAACCCGGCCAAAGCTCGAGCTTGTACTCTGGAATGGCAATCTGAAATACAAAACCGATTATTCATTTCAACAAAAACAAATGGGAGACTTTGCTTCAAGTTGCCAACCTAAAAACCTCTACCAATGTAGAAGCAATAATATGGAACTTTTGATTACTCAGATTGCTTTATTTTGGTGTAATCTGATTGTAGGAGTCTTCTCAGCTGTCTAATGGAAGTGGTTCAAAAGAAAATTAGTTTTTCATGTTGGTGCATCTGCGGTATGTCAATACTGAAATGTCAATACTTTCAATAGTGTCATGAGTAGAAATTGTTGCAGCAATAAATGACTATCAGTAAGTTCAAATCACGTTCGAACTTGGAATAATGATCAATGAACTCATATGGAGAAACGTGTTAACTATAATAAACTGGATGTGAGAGTTTTCTGGTCTGGGGCTACTCTTGACTTGACAAGAAGTCGTCTGAATGGTAATCAATGGTAATTGTTGTGCATTTATATTTAATCTACCCATAATGTTTCAGGCTATAATGAATATTGTGATGTTCAAATAGTCTTGTGATTTCAGCTACTCTTAAACTATATGTGCCTACTTATTTGAATGGTTTATTTTGATATTGTTATTTTCAACATTTGTGATACCTATGTATTATTGGAAACTTGGACCTGTTTTTATCAAAGGTGAGCTGTGTGGGCTTTGAAAGTATTTATTGAATGACTTCATTTCCCTATTGTTATTTTTTTAAAGAAAATGCTTATATCATAATATGTTACTGTTTTTATTCATGGTATCAACTGTGATTTATTCGTTTCCACAGTTATGGTTTCATCCTATAAAATACACTTCCTTGGGTCAGGTACTTTTCGTTCAAGAATGGGGTTGACATTTCATCATTTTATTCATCGATTTTCAGCACTCAGATGAAAATATATTCCTACTTCCTACTGCTATCAAATTTCTATACCAACGAATAATAAATAATAGTGTAGTCTACAAATAAATAATCTGAAATATGACAAAAAATTTTGGAAACAAGAATTGAGGATATGACAGCAGGTGCATCAACATAATTTTCAACTTATCAGAACTGGAGTTCACAAAAATAGTTTTTTTCTTCTGAATAACTTCTATTAGTGATCTGAGTAGACTCCTAAAATCAGATTTCGTGACAATTAAGCCATTTGAGTAATCAAACTTCTACTTGGTAGTGCTTTTAAGGTTGGCAACTTGGGGCGAAGTCTCACATTCTAAACTAACAGAGCTGTTTTGGCAAAATGTAACACAATAGGTTTATGTGTTTTGTTTTCATTGAAATCTACCAAGTTATTGGATCCCCATTGGAGAATTGTTGCCAAGTCCATATTTATGTTGTCAACATTTCTCCCTCGTTCGTTTCTGATTTTCCTGGCTGATATTGGAGCCCTGGAAGAGAAGACGGTATGGAGGGTACTATCATCCGCGAAGCTGTGTACTGGACATGAAGTTGCTTCTAACAAATCGTTGATATGGAGTAGAAATAGTGCTGGTGCTAGAATTGATCCTTGCGGAACACCAGAATTTATGATAAGAGAGTCCATCGACCACTACATGGAGAGACCTGTTTGAGAGAGAGCTAGCTAGCAGAGAACATAGCTGGGGAGGCAAGCCATAAGATGGAAGCTTGGCGAGGAGTCCGTGGTGCCAGACTCAATGGAATGCCTTGGAGATATCAAGTTAATGATGAAAATAATAATAATAATATTATTTAATTATGATCGACAAGAAATTTTGTGTACAATTGTCAAGGTTATAGATAAAATAAATACAATACAATAATACAATCTCAAATAATATGAGTTCAACAAACATTTGGATAAAATACATCACATTTACATAAAAAAAAATTAAATCAGTTCATGAAACAGTCAAAGAACTCACTAAATGAGTAAAACATATGTTTAGTGAGGAGAGCTTTCAGGCTTTTCCTAAATTTGAGGTGAGTGGTACAATCTCTGACACTTCCTGGCAAATTGTTGAAAATTTTGATACCCATGTTTGTAGGGCCAGTGTAGGTTAGTTGTAAGGTGTTTTTAAGGTGGGTAAAGTAGGTTGTTATCCCTTGTTGAATAGAGGTGTATGTCACAGTGTGCAATTAGATTATTTCTATCGAGGTATATATAGCAAGCAACCGCGAGTATATACAGACAAGCTGAGGGTAGAATGGTAAGTTGTATGAACAGTGGCTTGCAGGGGTGAGACCTTGGCTTATTGAGGATGGTTCAAATAACTTTTTTCTGGGTTAAGAAGAGATCTTTGAAGACTGAGGATGTACCCCACAGAATTATGCCATATATTAAACGTGATTGTATTTCGGCAAAGTAGAACATTCGGAGGCTGATCGATTGCTGCCATATATCTGAGACGTAAGCGAGCAGGTCACCAGTAGATCTCTGATGACGGAAGCCATATTGCCTATCGTATGAATTATTCCGCAGTTTTGCTTTTTTTTTTCGACCAACGTCAGTGGACTATATCGCGATCGTTACCTTAGAGTTCGGATCGAAATAGTCCCTGCCGACCATCTGCAACTGCATGAACGCCAGACACTTCCTGATGATAATGTTGAACAGCTGGATGTAGTGGTGGTCCCCCCAGGCCACGTCCCCCACCAGTCGAACGGTGATCCTGACTTGCTCCCCGGCTTCGGTCTCCACTACTCTCTCCAACGGGTCGGGGTTCAAACGCTGCGGAGTATACATGACGGTGCCGTCGAACAGGTAGCCCGTCACGCCTTGTACGCCCTGCATGAGATTGCGGAACATCCCTTTACGTCTACCGGTATGATCGATGTCGGGGTTGAAATCGACTCGGTACTGGTTCAAGCCCCATTTGCCGGCTTGCAGCAGGGTGAAATAATTGGCGATCAATTGAATAGGTGTTCCACTTGATCCTGAAATTACAAATCAATTAGTCGATGGAGTTTGTGGAATAATCGGAAAATTAAAGTAAATTGAAGTAAAATTTATTGCAAAAATATGATATTGAACTAAAACATGGAATTACATATAAGATTAAAACTGTTCAATTTAGTTTTAATATTCTCCTGAAGATGCAAACATAGTTAGCGAAACACGGGTCAAGGCGTTTGAAAAATCGGTTGGGTCAGTGGTAAAACAGTGTAGTGCATTATCGTGCCAAGGGTCAGCCTTTGATCTAACTCTTCTTCTTATTTTGACGTCAGCAACATGCTCCTGAATTTTCTACACGTACTTAAGAAACGCCCTGTATACAGTGTGTCCCACTTACCATGCTCACCATGTGTATCTTTTTAACGGTGAAAGATTCGGTTAAATGACACCAAATGTGGAGTTTGTCAGGGCCAACTATAATGTGAAAAAACATTTTGATAAAATCTATTCGTTTTTGTTTTATACGCAAAAAACAGATTTTGATCATTTTCATTTCTCCTCCGTAACTTCTTTATTTATGAAAATATTCAAATAGGAATTTCACATTCCTATGGCAGTTTTTCAAAGTGATTTCGAAAAAAATATGAAATTTATACCAACTCTTCTAGAATTTGAGATATCAGCACCAACTTTTGTTTTTCAAATGTAGGTCATAGCTCACTATGACTTAGTTACAAATAACTTTTTTTTCTCTTCCAGATGATATGTCGCAGTAATAGTTTTGTGTTGATAACAACGGAGTTATCGTCATTTATACAAGAACAAAAAATTATTTGGAAGCCGCCATCTTGAATTCATAAATTTCAACAAAAAAATCATAATCTCCGACCTCAAAAACCCCCACTTACCAATTTTGAATGGAATCGGACCAAATCTTGTCCGCCATCTTACAGCATCCATTTTTTTAAATTTCAACAAAATTCCATAACTCCGATTAACTTGAAATTTGACAGGTGTTCATAATTTCGGTGACAATACATCATGGAATTTTTATTGAAATTAAAAAAAATGGCTGCTCCAAGATGGCGGACAAGATTTGGTCCGATTCCATTCAAAATTGGTGAGTGGGGGTTTTTGAGGTCGGAGATCATGATTTTTTTGTTAAAATTTATAAATTCAAGATGGCGGCTTCCAAATAATTTTTTGTTTTTGTTTAAATGACGATAACTCCGTTGTTATCAACACAAAACTATTACTGCGACATATCATCTGGAAGAGAAAAAAAAGTTATTTGTAACTAAGTCATAGTGAGCTATGACCTACATTTGAAAAACTGAAGTTGGTGCTGATATCTCAAATTCTAGAAGAGTTGGTATAAATTTCATATTTTTTTCGAAATCACTTTGAAAAACTGCCATGAGAATGTGAAATTCCTATTTGAATATTTTCATAAATAAAGAAGTTAGGGAGGAGACATGAAAATGATCAAAATCTGTTTTTTGCGTATAAAACAAAAACGAATAGATTTTATCAAATTTTTTTTTTTCACATTATAGTTGGCCTTGACAAACTCCACATTTGGTGTCATTTAACCGACCTCGTATCTCTCACCGTTTAAAAGATACCCATGGTGAGCATGGTAAGTGGGACACACTGTATATGAATGAAAATGACAGAAAATATCAGTTTTGTCAAGTTGATAACTGGAAATTACCTTGTTTATTGAAATTCGGAGGCCTCGTGTGCATAATTTCATGTCTAATGGTGCGCCCACGGACACCTCCATTGCCACCTCCGCGGCCTCGATCTTGGGCAAGTGCACCTTCCCCAGCACCGTGCAGTCCTATAATAACCAGATAATGATCATCATTCGTTAAGAAGTAAGCACTGAAGCTATAAATATTTTTACAATTCAAAAGCGAGCTATTTGAATGATAAATAAGTTGAGTTATCTCACATCTTGTAGAACTCACTTCAGCTCGTTTACTCATGATTACAGCATTGCATATTTAGGAATGTATCAAATTTGTTCTGAAACAGTTACTTTCTTCCTACAATTGAATATGATAATTATAGTACTAGAAACATCTCAAACTACAATATTAAGAGAAAGGAAATTATAAAGTCCATCAATTACTCATACATTTTAAATTGAAAAAAAAATCGACTTGTTTGGATAGGGCAGCAGTTTCATAACATTCAAATATTCCATCCTCACATTGATGTATTCATTCTTTTGAGTTATGTTTATTGTTGTTGACTTGACTCTACCCACTTTATAAACAACACTTCTTTCAACATTGAATTTTTCTTTGTTCAAAGGAAATGACAATAATCTATGTATGAGAAAAGTTAAACTTGCCATTTTGTGTTGAAAACAGTGATTGGGGTCATTAGTTATTTATGTATCTAAATGTGTTAGTTTCCTTTCTAAACACATCAAATTCTAAGTTGTTTTTTCGTCATTTTTGATTACAAAAACATATAAGGTTATAAGGAGGATAGTTGACAGTTATTTTCGCATTCAAAAGTAAATGTAATAGAAGGGAAACAATAGACGAGTGGACTTTTTTTTTTGTTTCTATTGAAAGTTATTATATTCAAGTAATTTCTTCAGATATTCCAAAATTGTTGGTATGGGTACACTTGAAAAAAGTGAGGAAACATCAAAAGATAAAAGAACTTCATTTTCGGTTATATGTAACCCTTTGAACTTTTCAATGAATTCGAGAGAATTTGGACTGATTTTTATTCCATTTTCACCAACTCTGTATTACACTATACTGGGTGAACAACTAAAAACGGCCGTCATCAATCCTTTTTCATACTTTGATCGTCAATAGCTGCCGTTAGCGAAAAGCTATCATGTTGCAGTTTTCGTTGGTCTGTTGAGATTTAGTTTCTCTATTTGACCGTGTAATAATATGTGTACATTACATTTTTAATTCACGATATCTATTGATACTTTAGATCACGCCGACAGCCGTTCTTAGTTGTTCATCTGGTACATTTCGTTTGATATTCATACGAACCTCCGACCTGTTCAGCGACTGGGGCACCTTCAGGTGCATCACCCCCTCCCAATCGTGATCCTCTTCCAGCAGACTGAAAGCAAACACAAACATCTGCAAACTACCTCCATGATTGTTACAAGTGGAAAAGTATTATTAAAAAAATAAGCCATTTAACTGACTAATAGTATATTACATACCGAGGTGGGAAGTGTTACATTACTGTCGAGAGAACTAATATCTCGAGACAGTGATGTAACTATCCACCGAGGTTTGTATGCTATTTTAATTACAACTATAATCTTCTGAACAAAAATTCGGAAATAGCGAATTTTTCATTATTTTTTCTCAAACGTCAACAATAAAATTACAAAGACAACCATAGAATGATGATGACAACTAACAACAAATAACTTATTTTCCCAATAGTGAGTAGGCGAAAATTTGTTTCTGTCGTTTTTAAGGTGTAATAAACACTTCAAATTTGTCAGCTCTTGTCAGTGTCCGGACCGTGTAATTTATTTTTTTTATAAAATGTCGGATATACAGCTGGAATGCACACCGCCAGACATAAAGGAAGCAGCGGAGAAAGCTGAAGAAAATCTTCTGCCCCAAAAAAGTAGACCGAGGTATGATAAAGCATATAATACGTACAGAGGTTGGTGCGCCAAAAAAGGGGTCACAAAAGCTGCATCGGAAAACATCGTTCTTGCCTACTTCAGTGAAATGGCTAAGACTAAGAAATCGTCAACCTTATGATCTACGTATTCCATGATAAAAACAACCTTAATTATCAGAGACAAGGTTGACATAATATCAAAATATGGAAAATTATTGCTTTTTTTGAAAGGCAAAATGCCAATTATAAACCGAAGAAATCAAATACCTTTACCCAAGAAAATGTTGATACTTTCTTAGATGAAGCACGAGAAGAATTTCTTGTTCTGAAGGTTATTATTCTAACACTAATAAAATAGTTATTTTTATTAATATTTTTCAACATTTTAGGTTGATTTGGTAATTGGCCTTTCGGGAGCCTGCAGAAGTGATGAACTTTTCAAGATGAAAGTCCAAGATATTGATATTTTGGAAGAAAAGATCAGCATCATCATTCCTCACACAAAAACATATCAAGCACGATCGTTTCTGATATTAAACACTAAATGGGATGAAATTGTAAAGAAGTATATGGAACTCCGTTCACGAATTCAAAATGAGAGGTTTTTCATGCAAATGAGATTTGGAAAAATTATCAATCAAGTCTTTGGACACAATTCCATATCGCAATTTCCGAAAAGAATAGCATCGTTTTTGAAACTAAATAACGTCGGCGAGTATACCGGGCATTGTTTTCGGCGTACAGCAGCAACTTTGTTCACAAACAATGGAGATGTTCTTCAATTAAAGAGATTGGGAGGATGGAAATCGAGTACCGTGGCGGAAGGCTATGTAGATACTTCGTTCTCCAATCAAACGAAGACTGCTAATCTGCTCTCTGGCGAAACTACTTCCTCCAATCCTTCATCAGTCACCATGAAGAGTTCATCATCTGTACCACAAGAACCGAACTTTTGAAGCAAAGAAGCATGGGTTAATGGTTTCTGTAGCATCTCACAATAGTTCGACCATAACGATCAATTTCAATAATGTCAATAATCCCTAAATATATGTAAATTTTTTTTATCAAGTGTGCTTATAAGTCTCAATAAAATCAAATAGGTAAATGAACTTTTTATTTAAAAAACAGACGGTAATATGTCAGTTTCAGACATCTTAAACGTCAGTAATGATGACATTACATATATAGTTGTAAATAAAAAGGTAATGTAGAACATTTTAGTCAATACTCTTCTAGATATAGAGTTGAAAAAACACAATTGTTATTTATTCAACAAGAACGAAACACTGTTGTATTAAGGTCGAGTCTGCAAATTGATAGCCGAGGCCTTACAGTTGTTAGTTGTCAACTCACTCTTCGCGCGGACCAGAGTTGCCAGTTCGATTTTTATTCCATCAGTAAATACCTTGTAAAAAATTTTGTAGATTTCAATAGACCTGTTTGAGATCTATTTTATGAAAACGAATATTCTCAGATAAATCATGAACATGACAAAATGGGTATATACACTCAGGTGCAAAAAAAACGCAACAAGTCGATATTCGGTCAAATTTAAAGTCTCATAACTTTTTATTTTCGGTTCGATTTTCATAATTTTTCAACAAACTGTAGATAAAATGACTAATTCCAACTTGTATATCCAGTATTTTGTTAAACGCTGGCAGATTAGTCATTATACAGGGTTGAATGAAAGGTCGTTGTATTCCCTAATTTCATAACACCCTGTGGAATAATTCATTTGCCAAATCATTTAAAAAAATCATTTTTTGTTAGGAACCATTCTTTTTCTACATTTCGACTTTTGATTCATGTCTTCGAGAGCACTAGTTCATTTTTTAAAGCGAAATGAACTTGTCACAACAGTTTAATTAAGGAAATGTTATTTTTTGGCGAGGTGGCTTGGATCATTGTTGTGCTCAGTCAAATTGACAGTGATTTTTTACGCAAGACCAATACCATTGTCCTATACTCCTGCGATGGATTCAAGTGCGGAAAATTGTGCAAAAGCTATTGGCAAGGTGACGATTCCGATACGGCACCTGGTGGGCAAATTTGAACCAGTTTAGGACGTAATTCAAGGTCATGTTTGTTATTGTGATGTGTTCAGTGGGTTTCATATTTTACAAATACCATTCAACAAATTACGTTAATTTTCTCTTCTTGCTTCTCTTGAGTACAAGACATGAACTTTATATCAATTGCCTAATCAATTCGATATTATTTTATAAATTAGTATCTACACATCTCTGAAAATACGCGAAAGCATCTGTGTTTGGTTGCTGGTTGAACTAGTAGAAGGTTCCAATGGAAAAATGTAGGATCTATAATGTCCTCTACTGCACTCAAGAAGCTTTTTCTGATAATGAAAAATCAGTTCAGTTGAATGGAAAAAATGGATAAACGTTGAGAATCCAATATGAGTTTGAAAACTGGATGTATGCAGCTCCAACAAAAACTTCCTACCTTTCTTCACTTCATTGGTCCAATAATGATAACAATAAGGTAAATTTGTGATCCATTGATATATTTATTACTGATGAATAACTCTTATTTGCAGTGCCTATCTAAGAGAGAACATGATTGAAATGATCAACAGTTCATAACTATTTTGTTTATGGGCTATGTCTCCAGGACTTGGAAAAATAAGTATGGCTGTTTTTCTTTCAAATATTTTTTAAAGAAAAATAAAGAAGCAAATTCAATGCCCTTGACTTTTGAACTGCAATACACAAAGCTGGGCAAGAAAAAAGACATTATGAACATGTGCAGGTGGGCAATTTATAGTTTTATTTGTAATGCTTGACTCTCTTGTGAGTTATGAATTAACAGGAAAATACTCAAAGTGAATGGAGCTTTAATTATTTTATAAAACATAAAACAATGTACCAACGATATATCAATAATAAATATATCACCTAAGAAACCCATAAGGTGAAGTATACAAAGTGAACATAGTATTAACAACAGACTCATATAAAAATCTTGTTCATGATATCCTGCCTAGGCCTTCATAGATTCCTATTTTGTAGTATCATCTTTGTAGTAAAATAGCCAATGCAGATTGCATGTACTTCCAAAATGATTAAGTTAAAATACAGCTCCCAATTACATTCATATGAGCAAAAACAGTAGCATATTTTATAGATATACAATAACCCTGGTACAAGCAGGTCATTGTAGGTAGCTTATTACTTCATAGCCTGAATTGAATCTTTGAACATACATTGAAGTGACACAATCTATTTCTATTTGAATATTTAGATTGTGTAATAGCTAATAGATATGGTTTGTTTATAGTAGGTACTAACATTTCTTCAATTTTTCAGCAGGGGAGGAGCTGCCATCCAGGGTATCTTGCAATTGAGTGCAAATAGTTACACAAATTGAAACCAAAACCCAGATTCCTTGAAGTTGAATTCAAGTTTTTAAGAAGATATCACTGATTATTTGGGTACTTGAACATATCCATGACATTTCAAATTGTATCTTGGAAAAATGTATTCATAATTTTACTGCTTGTATTTTATTATTAAACTGTATTTATTCATAAGTAAAAGTTCTACTTTTTTTCTTTTTGTAATGTTTTATTGTAGGTTTTCAAAATTTATATTTCAATTCCACAACTAACGCAATCAACACCTCATTCTTTTTTGATGCAATTTCAAAGTTTCACTTCATAATCTTTACTGATTCCTTTTAAAATAGGTACCTACCAGGTAGATACTTACTTTTGCTCATTGTTAATTTATTTCTACATATATGAAAGTCCTGGATTTCAAATGCATTTATAATTGTAAATTTTTATGAAGGTATCTTGTAAAATAATTCAGGGAAAAACAGTATACATGAGCACTGAGAAAATTAGTATACTGGAAGATCCTTCTTTTTGTAGGTACTTCTTTCTTGACTTCTTTGGAGTGGCATAAGTACAGTAAAACACATGTTATGTCAATGTACTTTCATTTTCGAAAATTATAATTAATTCAGTTCCAAAATATACAAAACATAATGAACTATACAGATTGATAAGATAGATATTTTCAATTAGATGAATTCAGGATTACAAAATGATATCAAATCACAAAATTTATGATAATAAACTGTGTAAATACATTAACTGAAATCCTAGGTCATTTGATCAATGCTTTATGTGGTGGAATTCCAAATTATTCAATGATTTTATAAATATGGTAAAAAAACTAGCTTCACAAGATATTAAATGAATTCCAAGAAGAAAACTCAGTCTAGGATGCCACCTACCTCAACTCTAAGTATATTAGGAATATTCACATTATGAAATGTGTGTTATATGGATACAATTCACACACATGGCACATAGGATCATGACAATTTGCTATTATTGCAGTGAAGCACCATAATATATGAGGTATTGGAGTTGCACTGTTAACAATCCTCAAAGCCTGGAAGTAATATTGTTGAAGATATACCATTGTATCTACTATTAAATCCACAGT